CCCCCCACCCACACCCACACCCACACCCACACCCACACCCTCTCACTAATGCCCCACATCCATACCCCACACACCCACACCCTCCCACACCCACACCCACCCACACCCACACCCACCCACACCCACACCCACACCCACACCCACACCCCACCCTTATGTAAAATACTAATAATTAATAATCAATTAATAATTAATTAATAATTAGTTAATAATTACCTAAAACTAACCTCGGATCCGAACTCCTCACCCTCGATTACCCTTTGGTCAAGTTTTATGTAAAATACCATTAGTTAATGATTAACTAATAATTAATTAATAATTAGTTAAAACTAACCTCGGATTCGAACTCCCCACCCTCAATTACCCTTTGGTCAAGTTTTACACGAAATACTATTAATTAATGACTAATTAATAATTAGTTAATAATTATCTAAAACTAACCTCAGATTCCAATTCCCCACTCTCAATTACCCTTTGGTCAAGTTTTATGCACAAGCGGATGTTTTTTTGACCCTGATGTTCTTTTGACCCCGACACAGCCACACAAACATACACACACAACCATTTTTTTTTATATGACCCTCCCTACAGTCGAGGAAACTAAGACAGTGGACAACTACTATTGATGAGCACTGTAATTATTGATATATTTCGGTTGTTTTCACTAGATAGAAGCATCTAAGCCAGCATTATTGGATACATACGTGACACATCGTATGATTGTTTACTAAGTGTCTGACGTCATCATATCCTTTCAGTAGAGGGTCAGCGACGCTTACGTCGCGTTATCGTGTTTTATTACTAGGAACTCAACGGTGGCAATGCACTAATCGATTTCCAAGTAACATTTGCCCGAAAAAATATTCTAGTTAAAATTACAGTAGATTTTTTTTGTCATCAATTGCCTATTATATGAAAATAACAGTTTTCTCATACAATTGTGAATAAAGATTTTCGGACTCGAAGAATTGGAATCTATAAATGATTTCTCAAAATTTGTGAAGTTGATTTTTTTTTTTTGTCAATGAAGGGTTGTTTTTCAAAAATAATGGTATTTTGTAAAATATGATTAAATATCTTTATGCTAGTAGATATTTACTCTGTAAAAAGACTAGTTTCTTTGTTAAACTCTATATGTTATTATTGCCTTATTCATCAAACTCACCGTTGCATGTCTAATGATTAGACCAGTTTTAACAACTCAATAATGTACCATTGCAGCTACGATAGTATGTCTAGAACAGTGTATCGATGGAATTCTGGATCATCGTCATCGTTACATCTCTATTTCATACTGCACATCTTATCTTGTACATATCGTCTTCCTTTGTCAAGATGGCTTGTGAATTATTGATTTTTTGATCAAATAAGTGTTGTTTGCTTAGCAGAAAAATTAACTTTAGCTATTATGTGTAAAAATATCATTGAAATAATCAACTATTTTAGCATTGAGCGTCCTATAAGCAACTTCAATAACACACTTTAGCGAAGTTATAACTTCGATACGACATATATATATATATATAAGAGTTGTCTAAAGAAAAGTATTACTGAAGTAGTCGTGCATTTTTTTTTGTAAATAAGTGAGCAAAAAAAAACAATAAAATAGAAGACAAGAAAACTTATTAGATCAATGTAAAGCAAAGAAAATTTTTCGAAGATTGTGACTCATCTCTAATATAGAATAAGCAAACAAAAAGAACTCTGTAGATAAGATCATAATAAAATACAATAAGATTTGTTTAATTTTAATATCTCTTATTGATAATTTATCTTTACTCTAGAAGGAATTCATTTATTTCTTGATAACTAACTGAAATGGAATAAAAGTGAGATAAAATTACTTTTCACTTTCGAAAGAATTAAAAACACATTTCTTTCTTAGAATTTTCATTTTTGTACACATAACTATTAAGGTTTTCATTTACTTCTTTTTAGATTTCTGTCAAGAAAATGATGAAATTTAGGATAATTAACAATTGATTTTCATAATAATTATTGCAGATCTAATGATTCTAAGAAATAAATATACAAATATAGTTTTAATTTAAAAAATCTTCTTATATTATATATTTATATATCTTCAGTTGGTTTTTAAATGAGATATGATCATTTCTAAGAAATATAGGATTATTAACTGTTTTATCATTGTCATAAATGATTAGATATTACTAAAAAAACTTGAAGATGTGGACGATAGGAAAGAATGAAAGCTTTTTTCAATGAAAATAAACTAGTTTCTTTTGACTAGCATCTTACTCGATAACTACCTTATAGTATTCGTTGATTTGTGAAATTAATTGTAAAAATATCAAAAGAAAACAAAAGTATCAATGTAAAAATGATCGATAAGTGTTTTAAAAAATTCTAATAAATCATGAGAAGCATGTTTCATTTTATAGGATCATACTAATATTATAATAAAGATAGAATGCAAGTATGCATCGTGCACAAATATTAGAAAAAAACTGAATCCATATAAATAGAAAGAGAAGAACACGAGATGTATTCTGGTAAAAAAAAACCCTTTCTGAAATCAATTCGTTGATGAAGTAATGAAACTATTTTTCAACAGACAGTAAGATAGTGTTCATATGAACTCTTTATCATTTTACTGTAATAATATTTTTTTCTATCCGATATCTTTCATTTTTATCAATAATTCACTTTGACAAGCTTATTGAACAGCTATTTATAGTCCAGTACCAAAACTCAATGTGTGAAGACACAAAAAGTCCCATGAAGATCTTATGAGCAACCGATGTTTGCTGATGTACATTGGTTATTTTACTGGTAGGTTATGCCTGTTTATATTCTTCAGGAGAGCAAAGTTTCCGTGTACAGGTGCGTGACTATTGTAATACATTTTCTGTCCAAAAGTTCTTTTTTTCGAAGAAACAAATACTAATTAATTAAAAATTCCTTTTTACTGTATCAATGCTCTTTCTCGAGAGTGTGGGTCTGGGCGTAGGCGTCAGATATAAGAATCCACACCCATTTTTCATTATCTCTTATCGAGTGTTGCTACACTATATACACAATACCTCATCCACATTCAACATTTTGTCTCCAGAGATCAAATAGATTAATGTATGATCAAAGCAAGCAGTTCATGAATCAGTCTAATTAATTTATAGTAAAAGTAGTTAGTGATTAGGGTGCGTTTTTTATAGAAAAAGTACACATCCATTTTAGTTTGTGAGAATGTCAATCTCGAAGTTAGACTGAATTCCGTTACATGTAATCAATTCATTTGACGGATGTGGATGGCTTTGCGTTTGAGTTGTATGGGACCGGTGTGTGAGCTGGTGAGTCTGGATATGGATCTGTGAGTGTAGGTGTAGTTGTGACTAAATAGAAAAGTTACATCTACATTCAATCAAACTGTTTAAAATATTTGATATGTCTGAAAATCATGTTTAAGCAGTCACGAACGTTGAAACTTCAGCCGTTTCAACGGGAAAAACGTGTTAAACAGTTAAACGTTTTAAAGTCCTTTGAACGCGTTTTTAGGAGCAGATCAGACTTTTTAAACAGTTGAGACTCATGGTGTTTAAACACCGCTTTTCTCGTTTGCTTGTCTACCTGGGTTTACCTGTTAAGAAAATTATCAAAATCAAAATTATTAAATACGAGCGAATTTTGAATTGGTTTTCAACGTTGAAAAAAAACAACTTTTTGAATTATATAAAATAACATATTTCATCATTGGCATAAAATTCTACATGCAATGATTTATAATACATAACTAAAAAAAAATTTTATCCGAACTTTGATTTAACTACATTTTATTTTGATTTCAATTTTCAATGATTAGAAAAAAACGAAATTTGATCTTCGAAAGTTTGTAAAATATTCTTGCGGTTGCGAGTGTGAATGTGGATGTGGTGTGCATTCGGATTCGGGTGTGAATGAGAAGAATACCTCCATCCACACATTCATACCTCGGTGATCGATTATCATACAAAATAACAATAGTCTACTAGAAGTTTCTCCCTTTACGTAATTTTTATTAGTTTAATGAGGTTAGAGAGCACATGTGAATTCCGCATTTCGGCCTCAAAGAAGCTGCGCTAACAGGTCTTCTGTGAACGGATTGCGCTGAAAGCTTTTGTGAAATATGATCTGAAGAGAAGTGTTGAAGTTTAAGACGAGAAAAGTGGATTCCCATCCTGCCCTACAGACTGTGGTAGACATTTGTACTCTTTGACTCCGTCACAGACCGCGACAGACATATCGAAATTTTTGTCACAGTCTGTGACAAGGTCAAAGAGTACAAACGTCTGTCACAGCTCGTGACACTAGAAGGAATGTCGACATGCTGGTCTTAGTCCGCCAAGAAACCTGGATGGGCATAACGAGGTCTCTCTATAATGGTTAAAGCAGTTTCATCGTGTTTTACATGTCAATCTCATAGGAATTGCGTTGAAAGCTTTCTTTTTTTCTTTTTTTCTCTCATTGTATAATAATACTGATACGGATGAAGAAAAAAGAATGGTAGTCCAGTTTTTACCGTCTTCTTCGTATTAGTATATTCATATCTTCTCATAGTATGACGATGCAAACAACGAAAGAGTCTTTATCTATCGATGTTTGTGGATGACAACACAAAAAAGAGCAACAACTCCGAGTGACACAATCATGATTTCTTTCAAGTTGATACTTTTTATTTTTGTATATGATATAATACATGTCAATGGAATATGTGATAGTCAAACAGGTCCAGTAGGAAGTATCGAATGTTCTTCTAATGATGATTTTACAAAGAAACAATGGAATACATGCTTAACAAATAATTATATACAACGACATTCTCAAGGAAGACAAAAGTGCGCAGATGGAAATAACTATTGTACCTATGCATGTATGCCTGAAGCATATTATGTGGAAGCTGGCGATGTGGTTGATACATGTGCTTGTAATGATTCATTAATACCACCAGTATCTTCACTACCAACTGAATGTTTCAGTCCTGATGGATCAAATTGTGATTGGTATAAAAGTTGTCTCGAACGCAAATATTCATGTGAAGGTACTTCGACCGAATATCTTCTTATTTACACAAAAATATTTTGCAATCTGTTTATTAAATATAAAAATGTATTTACTGATCGAGCACTACGTTGGATCGATGATGGACGTAAATGTTTACAAATGGCTCTTGTTCAATTCGTTCGACCATTTATTAATGGCACGTGTCAAGCTATTGATGATGCAGCATCGGATGCATTCAAGTCTTGTAATCTTCAACCCTATCCACAACAAGGATCAATTTGTGATATAACCAGAAGAGATTGGTTACGAGCATTTTGGATGATGAAATCCGAATATAATATATCGATATCAACAGCAGCTTATGTTTGGTTACAAAAAGCGCTCGAAACCTTCTACGAATGTCAAAATGATCCGCAAGCGAATGATTTCGGACATGTCTACCAAGAATTTAAACTTACAATGGATCTTATTCAAACATCTTGGAATAATCAAATCAATTTAAACAAAGATCAATTTGATCAAATTGCAATCGATATTACTCATCGAATTGCCAAGTTTTTAAATGCATCACCAGAACAATGGGGATGGTACGGGTATGGAGTAACCCTAGCACAGCAACGTAGTAATACGGCATACAAACAAATGACAATCGTACTACTTGTTGCTGATCTATCAGGCATTGTCAATAATACATTGATACCACCTGTTAATATAACGAATATCAAGTTTAATGAATTAATTGAAAAGTTCAAAAATGCGTTGATTAAGGGTGACCTGCTTATAAAAAATGACAATGGAACATTTTATGCCTCACAGATGGGTCATTGTATGGATATGAAATGTCATGCGACAATAGAAAATATTTCAGCTCCTCCATATGGTTCTAAGAATGATGCTAGAAGAAGTAATTATTGCTGTTTCTCAATGATACTACTCCTTTTCGTTACATGGATTCTATTTCTGTAATCAAATTCCTCGTACCATGCTATATAAATCGAATAACAAATTTCTTTGATTTTATCTTCTTTTTAATCAAAGGATATTACGTACTATGATTTCATTCTTCTACGGATGAACAGTTAATCTTGCAATTACTTTTTCTTGATTCGCTTTTTTGTTTATTGTTATTCCACATATATTGGATGTAACAATATCCTAGTTTTGCAAACCTCGCTATTCATCATTACATATCTTCATATACAGTAATATTACAAAGTTTTTCGTATTTGATGACGATGTTGCAATTAACAGATGCGATTCTATGACAGATGCTTCCACCACAGTTGCTCCCGCGACACGGGTATGGGCGTGGATCTGAGTGAAAAAGTGACGGGCACTGATATTCACACCCACACCCACATCCTAATTGTTTTCTAATGTTATTGCGTTATTGTTCATACTTATTCAATAGACGAGCTCACACTAAGATAGAATACTTTTATTACTGACAAATAATTTTCAAATTTCACAATGATCCACGAGTAGGCAGGTCATATGAATGGGTCACTGATTATACGAAAAGGTATCATGATCGAGTGTCTTTGAGATGTGTTCACCACGGAGAATTGAAAGAGGTTGCGTGAATAAGATAAATAAACTATCTTTAAACTATTGTTAAATTTAGATCGAATTTTTATGAGTTCAGTTATGTACCAAATCAAATTTTACATCTCATCAGTCGTTTATTTTTGTGGACAAGATCACATTGAATTTTCATCTTTTCGATAAAATCCTCATTTCTTCTTTGTTTAAGATTGAAATAAGAAAGAAAAGATAAATTCAAGTTTATAGATAAAATTTATGTTACTGGAACAAGACAATTAGTGGTATTAATATTGATATAAGAAAAAAAAAATCATTGTACTCTTGAATCTCATCAATGGACAAACGCAATATTTACTCGATGTATAAGCAAAATCTAAATCAATTTTTTAATTAACTCGAATTTCCTCAATATTGTTATTAAGACAACTGAAAAAATTGTACGAAAAAACATGAGATAAAACTATTAAATTAATTGCAGAAAATATTATGTTTATAACGCTATTTTTTAGATGAAATAGGAAAAAGAAAAATGAAAAGGGGAAATCAAATATGAAATTATGCTAGTTGTTATTAAAAATAATAATCATATCCATTCCAACTGGTCGTTAATTAGTCAAAGAGTAAATGCTCAAATTAATAACAAAGCTTAATTCAAAAAATCTGGTTCTGTTAGGCACCACAGTCTGATATGCTCTTTCACATAATAAAAGGTTTAAATATATAAAATGAGAATCCATAGAGAAATCTGGAATGTGCGATCAAGAAAACAAACAGAAAAAAAGCGAAAAATATTTTTCGTTTTTTCTGAAAAAAGTATATTTTTCAAGCACAAGATGACGGAAATCACCAAACATTTGGGCCAGAAAGGATGTATCCGATAAAAAAAGATGTTGTTTATGAAAGATCAGACTATGGGCTATCTTCCAATACATTTATCGTAATTTCAATTTTTCTCACGACAATTGACTTTTTTTTTGAGATGAACGACCTCAAATCAACCTTGTCCTTTCAGATATGCATTGGTGAAGGTTAGTGGAGCATGTTGATAACAGCATTCAATTACATTCAGTTGTTATTAATGTGATAGAGAAGCTACAAGTACACGCGATTGCTCAATTTGCCATACATGCTTTGAAACTCTGTGACAATGGGCAATGATAAGAAATGACACTAAAATGAAAATGGAACTGGACAAATATCACATAAATCAATTTTTTTCTGCTTATTCTTCTTGTAGTCAAGTTTACTTAACAGTCTTCATAGCTGCATTATAAAATAAAAAGAAGGAACGATCAAATGCAAGAAAATCTCTTTTCTAGTTGAAATAAGCTCTATCGTCGGTCGTGTTCATCAGTCGTCCGTAATATCTCATTTCGGCTAGGACAACAAGATTAAGAATGTATATGTTCTTAACGTATCATAGTTTGTGAGATTCAATTCAAAAGGCGCCATCAGAATAAGCCCATTTCTCTATTGTGATACAACGAATCTTCAATGATCACAAAAAAAAGACTGTTACACTCTAAGGTTGCTTGTGCCAGCCTGGTTTCTCTTGGGCCTTGACGCATCGATTGTAACATCCACAGTCGGGTGGACAGCATTTTTCATCAGAGGCGCATTGATTATCATTCGTGCAGCAGTTTCGACGGTTCTCACACATCTCAAAGGACCAGGCAGATACACAGGCAATGCCGCATGGGACAAAATGAAACGGACAATATCCTAGAAGGAACCAGTTTTATTTCGTTTTGGATTACGAAAGAACTCACCAGCATGTTCCTTCTGCAACTGTCTCTTTTTGAGTGCCTCAGCACCAAAACAGCAGAACACTAGAAGCAAGAGCAAGACGAGAGAACGCATTTTTAAAATGGTGCGATCGTATGTTGAATGTGACAACAATAATGAAAGTGGCTTGGTTAATAGACAAATAGATATCATACACCTGTCCTGTTTCCCATTCCTTTCCGCCATCATATCAAACATATTTCATCTAATACATCCAATTTGTTTTGCTTATCGTTGTTCGCAAGTACAGAACAAGAAAGAAATTTGATAAATTATCTTTCTTTTAAGTTCGCCCGTAAAACCTGAGCACTTATGGGACCGCACTTAGATCTTTAGGAACGCAAAACGACATTTTTCTAAAATTTTGCCGCTACTGCGAAGCATATAACGAAAGCAACAGTTCTTATCTGTGCTTCTTGCCTAGATAATATAATTTATATGTGGTACAATGAAAGCAAGAGCCTTTTCTTTTCGTTTGATAATTTATGGTGAGCACAAGAATATACGTGAATGTGAACGCAGTTGTTGGTGTGAGTGCGGATTGACTGAAGACCCCATACCTGCACCCATAAATCCTATATGTTTAATGAAGTTTTTAACCGAACTTCGGTTGATATATTATAATCCTTTACAAGAACAAAAATATAATGATGAATTATCGAGTATAATGTTTCAATTTATTGAATTGATTATACAGTACAACATAGAGAACAAGATATTGATCAATAGAAGAGAAATTATTGTTTTCATCGAGTTATAGAAAAACATAAAGAAGAAAATGACCAATAGAGAAAATATTTTGTTTTAACAAGATATAGAGGAATACAGAATTCAGTATTGATCAGTAGGAAAAAAATTAATTATCGTTATCGAGCTACGGTTACATCGATCAATTTAATTTTTCACTAATGGAAGTGAGTTAGAACTTTTACTTTTATTCGAATTGTTTTTTCTTTTTCTTTTTCAAGTTCCATTTCAAGTTGTTTAATTTTCTTTTGTTGCGATTTCATGACTTCCTTATATTCACTCTGTGTTTGTTCTAATTGACGAACATGGTTTATCAATTGTTCGATGACAGCATTTTCAGAAGATAATGTATTTTTTAGTCTTTGAATTGTTATTTTCGATAGTTCTTTATCAGGCTTGTTCTAAAACATAATAATATAATAGTTTTCGATATGTTTATTGAATAATTATGCTTTCTTCCCACACGCTGATCGTTTTCAACTCGTTATACTCGATCAACAACGAACGTTTATTAACAGTGAATATGAATCTAAGTAAAATGAAATATTTTAGTTACGTATTTATCTTATCTATACACACTGTAATTATGTGAAAATGTGAATGTCTTCAGAGTAACATAGGAGGCAAAAAACAAAGACAAGTGAAGAACAAAAGTTCTTTGTGTTCGATTGATTACACGTGCATGTCATTGTGTATATTATATGTGCGCATGTCGCCAAACATCGCCCACCACATATCTGCGTCCATGAGTCATATGCATAATACATATGTAATTTTTAAATTTCTATTCAGACAAAAGTGTGGGTGTTAGTGCGGGGTGTGTGGATGCGAATGATTTTTTCCCGCACTCACACCCTCACTGAAGCTGAATGTAATTCAGGAAGATGATATTCGATGGTGAAATATGTTTTAGACTTTATAATTTTATTTTAATGTGCTCAATTGCAATAAGTCGCTTCAGTTACGCCTCATATTACACAAACCGGATTACTTTTAGCGATAAATCGCCGATTTTTTTCCCTATTACCATCATATGAGGCTTTTATCGTTGTCAGCCTATTCTGGAAGAAAAGAAAAGGAGGACTTGAAAAATAGTAATGCTAAATGAAAATGGAATTTTGTTTGATTTCAGGTTTATAATCGTAAATGGCATCATCATGCAGAACATGTAGATGGATAGAAAACAACTCATTATGTCCATAATTCTTGGAAGACCTTTAAGAATTCACTATCAACACATTCAATGTAATGACAACAAACAATACAGTATGTTCAACATGCCATCATTTAGTCTTCAATCACATTTCAAATCGGTATGAGTAGAAAATGAAACTTGTATAAAACATTATCTTTTACTTCCAGATACATCAAAACCTACTCGACAGATGATTTATTTATCATTAAAGCTAGATGTTTTTGGATTTGGTTCCAACAGAAATGATTCAAGTAATAAATGGAAACGAGTTTGTGATATATTTTAGAAATCGATAACAAATAAACCTTTTCTTTCAGTAAAAAAATTTTGTTCACAAATACTGTCATGGTACCTTTGTTAGATTTTGTCAACGACTGCTTATTATTCGATCTGTTCGGTTTTTATTCAATCTATGTAAGTACATTGAGCTTTTACTTTTAACAAAAAACTATTTTTTGTAGCTGTATGACTGATATGGATCTATCACATTTCTTTTATCTCAAGATTTTTTTCGATTAACTTTAATGAAAATAATTTTTTCGTTTAAATTTCACTGACGATATTATCTATTCATTATCAGGTGACACATGATTTATATCTATGATTGGATTATGCCCAATCATTAGTGTTGCAACAGCTGTTTCAAAATTTCTTTACAATATAATAAAGAGAAACTAAGTATCTAAAAATCATGTTTTTTTTCTTTTGAAAAGCTTTGAATGAACTAAAATATCGTTGCACATGTTTCTCGAAGTTCTTCCAACCGATTTTGAAAGTCAATTATCATCACTCAAAATGGGCTGTGCCTTTTTCTGACGATGTTTATTGACTGTGATAACATGAAAGTAGAAAATCCACAGGAGGAATTGTCAAATCTTAGCTCATTAGATGAAAAACGATTCCTGGACAAGAGGTCAGAATATTGACTATTTCACTTCGGATAAAACAAACGACTTTATTGTATCGAATTACACGAGAGAGACCGAAATGAAATCGAAATCATTAGAAAGAAAACTTCGAGTTAGGACATTGTATGGACGTTCAAGTTGGTACAGAAGTCTTTCATGAGAAATAGTTCTTCTGAATCGTTTGATGTACGCATTTTCTCATCATTAGATATCAGAATACAAGATCCACTTTTCGATCTTGGAATAATACTTAAAAATGATTTTAAAAAATACATTCTAAGTCAATGAAAGATAAGTTCACTGAAGTTGAATCGTCTATGAGTTCTAAAGTCGAATAAAAATAAAATTGACAAATGTAATTGAACTGACATATCCTCAATTCCATTCTTAGTTGATTTCAGTTATCAATCAGTTTCAATTTGATTTGAATTCGGATTCTCAATGAAAACACGACTTTTTTCCAGTATTTCTCTTGGAAAAAGCTTGATTTGTCGCTATTTATCTTGTGTGTCATCGAGAGAATTAATTTGAATGGTGATGATGATGATATCATGCCGAAGAGATAATCAACTATTTCACTTGAGATGACCTTGAATGACGTTAGATCTGTTGAATCAAGATATGACACACGATCTGTTTATTGTTTGGTGAATATAGTCCGATGATAAAATGACGATAAGAAAAGAAAAGCGAAGTGAAGATATGACTCATGTTGTTCAATAAATAAAGCGAATTCTTTGTTGATTCTCATTTCAAACAAGAGACGATGTTCTACAAAGCAGTTTTTGTCGCATTGACTATTTTTCTGATTGGTTCAAATGGTAAACCAACAATTTCACTGAACGATCAACCAGAACGTTGTTGTGCACCAAACAAATTCAGTTGTCGAATAAGTACATCAACTGGAATGCAGTTACCAGATGCAAAGTTATACGAATCATTTGTAAGTCATTTGAAGAAGAGAGAGATTTCGATCTATTGTTGTCTTCAAGGCTTATTACAATTTCTCATTTGATTCGGATCGAGCAATGGTAGGAATGAAAGGAGTCTCGTGGACAGAACCAGACCAACAGAAAACAAATCTTTGGATTATTGAAGATTTCAACAAACGAATTAGTTATGTAATCAATCAAGATTTGAAAAAATGCGACAAATCACCTTTACCAATGGAGCATGATCGTTGTATTCCAGGTATCTAGAAATTGTTATCAACAAACTAAGGCTCGATCTTCTGGTTTATTACAGAAACAGCAACTTTTGTCCGTTCATCAACGTTTGGATATGGTCAAAAACAACTCATTGGTGATACATGGCGCATTCAAAAAGATGAATTTATTAATTATGCTACGGTCAGTCGTGATGGTCTTTGTGTTCCATTGGCTGGACAGGTTTTCTTTCAAAAACCTGGTAAGTTGAGAGATAACGTCAACGTCATATTTCTCTGTTTGATCGTTTAAGCTATGGTCAGTTCAATGACAACAACAGATTTTGTTCCACAAATTGATGATCCAAGTATTTTCGACATACCGACAGAATGTCAATCCGCCGTTTAGCTTCAACTTGGCCTCACAGACACACAGGGTTAACACATTAATTGTAATTTATTCTTTCTAATAAACTTGAGCTTTCAAACAATAAGAAATAACAATTCTCATCTGTCAATCGAAGGAAATCGTCATTCCATCGAGCTTAAACTAGAATTAGGCGAGAATCTCAAGCACAAATTGTGTTGTCGATCTAGTCTTATTGGCAACAACAAAAAAGGAAACGATTTGAAAACGAAAAATTCACTTTTTCCCATGGTCTCATTGATTCGGTTGAGGTTGAAAATAATGCAAGCGCTGGAGCTCATTTCAATGATTAAATATCATCAATTCAAAGTAACGCGAGATGGAAAAACAAAAACAACCTATTGTATAGATTTGCTAAGAGAAAAGATGAGTGCATATACTAGTGTACATTAGTCAGAAATAATTGTGTTTATTTTCTGATCTTTTATTACAGGAAATCTCGAAATCTGTAAATGAAATGATGTCGAGAAAGCACATGAATGAAAGATTAAGTTACATATCATTGGTCGCCTCATTAACCGTTCAAACATGAGCAAACAGTCTTTAATCGACAGGATTCTAATAATATGCAAGATAAATATCGATCGTAAAAGTATTTGCAATCAGTTGAATATATGATCGTTTAAATTACACTATGTATCAGAGATGGAATCAGTTCGGTTTGAAAGTTTCAAAAAGCCAATCTGTTCGGTTCTGTTCGAAGAAAATGAGAAGCCATTCTATATCTACCATTAATGTTATATAACAAAAACGGACAAAATTATCTCTAGATATAGTTAGATATGTTTTTCGTGCACATGTTTCAAAGTGTTTGTGGGCTCATGTTTTAGTGTAAACTTTTAAAACATGTTTTCAACTTATAATCTGAACCGTTTCATTAATTCTAATATTAACTGAAAATATCTTTTGAAAAGTACATTAACTAGCTTAGTAAAGCATTGTTTTAAAGAAATCAAAAAAAAAATTTTTACATTTTATGCTATTAGTCATTTAATGAACATCAAACACATTTATATCGAATAGTTTTTTTTGAGTAAACTAGTCCCTTTTAAGGAATATTGAAAGAAATATTTTGGTTAAGTATAAGCTAAATCAAGATTAGTGTATCAAGGAAAAATAAAAACACTGCGACTGTACTTCTATAAGGATAAACTCTGCAATAACTATTTATCATTTAATGAAATAAAAAAGATGACGCTTGTACCTGAATGAGCCGTCTATTTTCGTATTATACTGCTGAGATGTTTAAAAACAGTTTTGAAATCTGATTCTATGTTGATCTGATGTAAAATGTTTTTCTCTACAAAACTGTCGACTTTGTTTTTCAAATGAAACCTTCTTGGTTGCATAAAATTTTGACAGTTAACAGCTTCTCAACTACTCAATTCTGACGCGGGAAAATAATAAAGATCGTGACAGTTTCTCATTAAAAATATCGTTGATGTCATCAAAAACTGTGAAAACGGGAAAAATCCCATTTCTTCCAAACTTCTGTTTTCCGACTGAGGATGGATGCAGGTCTTATATTCACCCACACCCGCACCCTTCATCATCTTTCTTTTTCTGTCTTTTTTTCTTGTTCTCTCTGGTTAGTGTAATATTCTTACGTAAATTTCAAATTTTAGTCTCATAAGAAAATTCATTAACATGGTTTTTATTCATAACTATTGACAATGGAGGAAACAATCAATTGAAATAAAGTCATCATACAAAATAATTATTTCGCCTCAATCAATGAATCGATCGGATACAGTACTTCGAGTGCAATACGATGTCTATTTCTATATCTTAATCGACTTATTAATCAGCATTTCAACAGTATGCAACAATCTTTGATTAGGATATGTTTGACTTGATGATGATAACGTGTTGATGAAGCAATGAAAATATAAAAACTTGCCTAAACAAACCAATGACACATTATCTAGAAACCGAAGAAAAGACAACCTGCTGCGTAGTTCACATAGAAAAGTGATATAGTGATTGCTTGAAGTAGAAGCTTAGTAGTTGACATAGTTGATTGATCATGATTGACAGTAATATTGAGTACATAAATTCGATAAATAACGTAGGATCCAATGAGAACTATGAGTCAAGTAATACAAGCAAGAACCACAGCCGTCAGTAGTGGATCATAGTCGACGATGTACAATTGGAATTTATCGTCGAACGACTCGACTAACATTTCGAAAATCCAAAAAACTAAAAACAATGATAGTCAATTTATACTCTTGTGAACCGACTATATCTTCACAATCATTTATGGCTCATTGTCATTGATGCGATACACATCACCTTGATTTCAACGATTAATTTGTTGATCTACATGTGTCAGCTGAAAACCTTTTTTCTTGATAAATAGATTCTAGAGAAAATTTTTTCTCATACTTCCATAGCGAAGAAAATTGTTTCATTTAACATATTCGACCCGATGGGATCCATGGGTGGATCCAACTGTGTTTTAACAGAAAACTTAGTAGAAAAATACTTTCTTTTCATTTTTTCTTAGGCAGGAAGATACATGTAATGTGGCACCTGCTTTGCCTTCTCTACTATTGAAATTTTTTATTGCACAGAGTGATGCTTCTCGTTAAAACAATCAAAACAAAAAAAATTATCGCAATCAGAAAAAAAGTTTTTATTTTCTTTGCTGTCGCATGACTTGCTTCTCTTGATCGTTGTTGCCTGATTTTCTCACAGCAACTAGCACAGTGCCCTTGGAAAGCTCGCACATAACCTTTCTTTTCTTCGAGCTTGTCTTCAGCAAGTTTGCGCTTCGAATGACTTGTTGATTTTTGTCTTGGACCAAGTTTTAGCTTCTCGAACGGCATGCCAAGCAGGGAACATTACATAAGACTTTCGCGAAATTGTAGAATGATCACTTCACTTGTGACATAGTTATCCTTGTATATCAAATAGCCATTAACTATTGCTGTCTCAAAAATCAATTCAAATGCCACCTTTCGGTAACATTTTGTTGACCGCCTGAGACATGTATAGTATGTTGATAGCTGATCTGATAAATCACTACCTTGTCGCTGTTGGTTGTAATCTAGTACAACTTGTGGCTTCACAACACGTTCATTTTGTATATTAATTTTTCTAGTGTCCACTACAGTTGTTGAATGTAACGGTATTGTGGATATCATCAAACGTCTCTTTTATATTTCCACTTGATTAATTTTATGACATCTTCCCCTGGAGTCCATAAACTTCGTCATGCTTAAGTTTTTTCTGAACAACTTCGTTTCCTAATCCGGCACGATTATTGCTCAATGTTTCAATAAGATATATATCACGTTCCAGCAAACGTTTCGCAATAGAAATACTGGTAAGAAAGTTGTCAGCTACTATAGTTCGATAGCATCATAAAAGATTATCCAATAAGTTTATTTGCATGCTTTTCGTCGTTGTTCGAAAAATATCAAAAATTTGAGAAATAATTCAAATTTGTCTCTCGACATGGCAGTTCGAATAATCTCAGATCCATACAACTGGCTATTGCTCCAGTAGTAGCTCAGTTTCGGCATTTGTACCAACCCCCAGCTCGATAATAATGCCCAAAAATTAGAGCATTTCTTTATCAGTGGTTGGTTTCCATTGAAGAATTGTTGACCGTTTCCTAATCTCATGAGTTTGTAAATATGACTCCGCATATCGCTTAGTTTCGCGAATCATAAGGCTAATAGTTTCGTCCATGATGAAATGCCGATAGCAATCGATAAGATTCATTGTATCATCTTCTGAAGCAGGAGTTACTTCTTCGACGATTCCGTAAACCTCTTGGAATTCGACATTCGAATTTGGTTCTATTGCATTCCAGGCTGGTAAATCTACATCATCATCAATAATTTCTTCCTTGGAACTTGAGAATTCAAATCCCATCTTGGCAAATCCATTTTTCAAATTACTCATTTCACTTAGTGAGCTATCACTGTCGCTGTCTTCTACATCAGTTTCATCAATCGGCATATAATTCATAGCAAAATCTATCTGAAAAGCAACGCAGATATACGTATCTCAATGTCATAAAAGGAATTTATATAGCTCAAAACGTATCAATGATCCATATTTCGAGTTGGAATCACGTGACCCGAAGGAACTGCATAGTAGCTTGCAATAAAACTAGAATATGATAGAAAGCATCGTTTTCTCCAAGAAAAACAGTTATTTTTAGAAATATAAGAGAAGAGAATCAAAAAGGCGACAAAGAAAAAAAGACAAGAGAAAAAGCAGTCGAAATTTCACCTGTTCTACTTCATTCGAATTGTGCAATGCACGAGAGAAAGAGAACAACAAAGTAGATAAATTATACAGTTCATCAATAAAGGAAACTATCCATGTGCTGTAACCAATAGAAAAGAGAAAACAATGCACCAGCACAAAATAATATGGCTAACAAGTGCATTTGTCAGAAGATGAATGCGCTCGAAAACGAAGCTGTTAGAGCTACTTTCTAATAAAATCGGATCGAATTGAATATGTTAAATTAAAAATTAAAACGATATTGTTAGCGGTCTGCCCCTTACCATCTGGGTTTGCTATCCGTTCATGTGGTATAAAAAATCTTCTGAAAATAGCCAATAATGATACGTATTGTATCGGCAATCAATGAAAGGTGTTGCCGACAAAAATCGAAATTGGTAAAGTCTCTTTACTATAAACACTACTGAAGTTCGTTAAAAATGTTCATAATATGTAGGTGTTCACTACACAAACCCGCACCCGTGCTTACAACCACATCTTGTAACACCTTCAACTTTTACATACTAAAGATTTTTTCAAATATTCTTATAAATCACTAAAATAAACATCTACATAAGGACATTTTCGTTTTCATTTCGAATTGTATCGGACAATAAAATTCTCTTACAGCATTATTCTACTTTCGTTTTGTATTTGTATAACTGAAACTGATGCGATACATTTGAACTTTGACAATTTATTTATTTATCCTTGAATCGTCTAATTTTTATAGCATTTTTTACGTCTGCAAAAAGAAAATTATGAGTTTTGGCTTTTTTATATCATTTTTGTTCGTATCTCTTTCACATTATGAATGCATCAAGATTAGTAACGTATGTGTGCAAAGAACTACTTATCTGAGAATGATAAGGAATAACAGAAAAGTGTATCAGAAAATATGATAAAGCAAATTTCATGTTTAAAAGAACAATGTCTAAGACTACAACCTTCACAAAGTGTTACCTGAAGCTCAAAAGATAGCAAATATACGAAGCAAGTTTTTACTGATGACAATAGATCAATTTTCCCGTATTAATTGACATGAGTATGTATACATTAAAACTTAACAATGCTTGAATTTTTCATTATGAAAACAACGAAAACCTGTTCATTTCTCTTTCATTGCGCAGAAGAGAGAAAAAACACAGTCGTACATAAGATTTTTTTTTTACTATTCTGATGTTTGTATCTTCAAACAGGTCTGAATACAGTCATTATTATTGAGGCTTTTATGGGCTATCATTGAAAATATATTCTCGTACATCAATGTTGCATAAATAATCGATTTTGAGTTATCTTTAAAAAATGATCATAGATATAACGAATATTTATTCAACCAACTAATTTGGACAAGGGGAGGGGGGGGGAGTGTGAATGCATCGATATAGGTATGGGTTTGTCGAGTCTGAATAAAGCGAAGATCCACACATATAGACATTTATTTTGATAAGAATATATTCTAGGTGAACAGCGACAATCATGTCGATTGGATTGGGCTGAATCATCATGGACAAGATGGATGCAGATTCTACTATTTTCATGGATAACGCCTATTCTCTCCTTGGGTAATAAACGCACACTTATTGAGAACGATCTTAATGATCTTTCTACCAACGATAAATGTTCAGTCTTGTTGAACAGAGTAAATCAGTATAGTTCTAAATGGCAAGGTACATGGCATGTACTCAATCGAACATTTTACAAAGATTTTCTAATGAGCATATTACTCGTTTTTCCACTTGTAATAGCTCATATTGCACAGCCATTGCTTATTCGTCATATTGTTCTCTACATTAAAGGTCAATCAAGATTACCTGCATATGCTGGTTATCTATTTGCTATTGCTCTTTGCAGTTCCGCAATTGTACAAGCCATTATTCCTCAACAAATCTTCTTTAGAAATACTCACATAGGTATGCGAGTTCGCAATACATTATCATCTATCATCTATAAGCGCTTGTTGACCATCAATACTGCAGCTCTTCACAAGACTACTGCTGCTCAAATAATTAATTTAGTAGCAAATGATGTCGGTAAATTTGAAGAATTAAGCACTTTCGTGCATGCTTTAGTGCTAGTACCTCTGGAAGCTCTGGTAATGTTTGGTCTCGTTTGGTGGAACATCGGTTTACCGACATTATTCGGCTATGCAGTACTGCTTTTATTAGTACCTATACAGTTCATTTTCAGTAGAAAGTTTAGCCAATACCGAAAGACCACAATGGTATGTACAGACAAGCGTGTACAGATGATCAATGAACTTATCAGTGGATGCCAAATTATTAAAATGTACAATTGGGAAAAAGCCATGGAGAAATGAGTACGTGAAACACGTCGACGTGAACTTTCCAACATTTACAAAGCGAGCTGCTTGAGAGCTCTTAATACTGCTCTCTCTTTCGCAACGTTACCTTTGATTTCTCTTGCTACATTCGGTGGTAGTTGGCTAATGGGTCGAACTTTGCTTCCAGAAGATATATTCACAACACTAGCCTTCTTTGTCATGGTCCGAGTTCCCGTCACAATTACAATGCCGCAGGCGATCGAAAAATTTAGTACAGCTCGTGTTGCTGCAAGAAAAATCGATCAATTTATGCAACTCGACAGTTTGTCGAATACACGTAAAAAATCGGATAACGAAAATGGGGATCATGCAATCATAATGGAAGATGCCTCGTTTTCTTGGAGAAATATCCCTTCTTTGTTCTCTCTCAATCTCAAAATCAGAAGGGGTAAGTTAGTTGGGGTGAAAGGTACTATCGGTGCTGGCAAGTCAACCCTATTAGCTGCTATTCTTGGTGAGATCAATCTTGTCAGTGGAAAACTAGAACTATATGTTAATTCAATTTCGTACGCTCCACAATCGGCGTGGATCTTTGCTGACACTATTCGAGCTAATATTCTTCTTGGCAAACCAATGGATGAAGAACGTTACGAGAATGTAATAAAGGCATGTTGTCTTGATATTGATCTACAGAATTTCGGTGAAGTCGGTGATTTATTGATGATTGGTGACAAGGGTATCAATTTGAGTGGAGGACAAAAAGCTCGAATATCGCTCGCTCGCGCTCTTTACGCTGATGCTGACTTATATTTACTCGACGATCCACTTGCTGCCGTTGATCCAAAGGTGGCAAAGAACATTTTTGATCAATGCATCGGTCCCTATAGTATCCTTCGTGGAAAGACTCGAATATTAGTTACACATCAGACACATTTTTTCGTTGAAGCAGATCAAATGATTCTCTTGACGAATGGTCATATTGACGAATTACATATTGAACAACAACCTGAAATTGAGTCGTCGAATAATACATCAGAAACAGATTTATCTAACAACAATGAGACAGATTGGGCACTTAACAGTGCTATGACTGATATGAATTCGATTGTAAAGAATGAGACATCAGTTGATGGTGCCATCAAGTGGAATGTTTGGCTACAGCTGTTTACTTCGCCACCTTTACGTTGGTTTGGCTTTTTTCTTATGATAATTTTTATGCTTGGTAATGAAGCTCTGTATGACTTTGCAAATAATTGGCTCGCTCTGTGGTCTGGTAAAGATAAAATCGAACAACGATCACCATTTTATGCTTATATCTATGTTGGAGCTATAGTTACTACATTGATCGTTGCATTAATACGTGCCGGCTATGTCTTTTATATCATATTACGTGGTTCAACCTATTTTCATAATCGAATGCTCAAAGGTATCTTGTATACTTCGTTACGTTTCTTTGAAAGTAATCCAAGTGGACGAATATTGAATCGAGCAAGCAAAGATCAACAAGTGTTAGATGAATTGTTACCTCTGACTTTAAGTGATACTATGCAATATTTACTAATGACTCTTGGTTCTATCGCAATCATTGGAATAACTAACCCATGGGTGCTTCTAATTCTCATTCCTTTAGCTCCCACAGTTTTGTGGCTTCGCAGATTTTACATGCGTTCGAGTCGTCAACTCAAACGACTCGAAAGTGCAACGCGTAGTCCAATTTATACATTGTTCTCGTCGTCAGTAGATGGACTCACTAGTATTCGTGCGTTTGATGTTCAAGGCGATTTTTTGAATATGTTCATGGAAAGAATTGATACTAATTCACGAGCTTACTTCATTCTCTTGGGCACTGTACGTTGGTTCGGTTTACGACTCGATCTTTTAGCATCCTTACTCACTTTGGTTACCGCTATTCTTGCAGTAGCATTGCGCCATCAAATCGATCCATCGGCAGCAGCACTCAGTATCAGCTATTGTATCACTTTAACAGGTCTGTTTCAATGGTGTATACGACAATCAGCCGAAGCTGAAAATTTCATGACCAGTGCAGAACGTATTCATGAATATGGTCAACTAGTGCCAGAAAGCCATCGGAACAGTAATGAAAGCGGTACACTCGTTCAACCGGCAGATGATTGGCCTTCTCGTGGTGTTATCGAATTTAAAGATTACACTTTTCGTTATCGACCAGAGCTCGATCCTGTGCTCAAAAATCTCAATCTACGAATCGAATCCAAAGAAAAGATTGGAATTATTGGTCGAACAGGTTTGATTGCTTTACTTCTAGGAACGGTATATGTGAGGAGCATTTCTAATGAGGAGACAGGAAATCGGTTGAAAAAGGATATGTATAGACAGAAGAAAGATAAGGCTGTCGATGCTTCCTCTTATTATCGAAAATCCATGGTTGCAAGCAGCTCTGTTATGTTTACATTTCTCTATTTGTGACACATTCTTCTATTTCTAACACGTGACTAGACCTATGAAAGACATCTAATCAAATATGATCATAGCAAATAATTTCAGAACTCTGTATGCCGTATCAAGATTATGAGGAATAATCCGTTCTGATTTTCTGGCGCTTTCTCAGTCGCTATTGATATTTCAAAATGTACATCTGAAGCTGTGAAATTGTTCTTTGATGCAAAACCGCGTGGAATCGAGAGAAGATGGAAGCTGTGCATTGCTTTGTTTTGAAAAAAAAACGATTATTCAGTGCATCTAATCGAATCTTCGAATGGTTTAATCATTTTCATTCCGCGAGGACCCTTCTTTTCGAATTGCGATCCTTTCACATGAAGAATGACTCATAGACTTCCTATACTTCCAAGAGTACAGAAGTCGGTAGTACTCAATTCTAAGTATGCGTACGAGCAATCCTAGTCTCGTGTTTTTTACTCGTTTTTTATATCATTTTGTAGGACTAAAGAAGTGTTTTCAAACAATAAGAAATGCGATCTTGGGCAACATTTCATTATGATATTATAGAATGAGTGAAAAAGAATAATTAGCACTGCAACATTAATCGATGATTAAATAGCAGGTACACGCCAAATGAGACTATTTCTACCAGTAACTGATTTCAAACATTTAATTAAAGCGATCCATTGATGAGAAAATATATTTTTCGAAAGAAGCATTTTATCAGTTATACACCCTGTTCTTATCAATGAGATCTTTTCAGCAACTGGTATAAAATAAAACTTTAGCATTTTATTAAGAATATTTGACTACGTGCATTTACAATGTATAGTATACACCTAAAAGGCCTGGAATATAAGAACGTGTGATTATGCTCTTGGCGACATTCGTCTATTAGTATCTGTTTTTCGTGTAGGTGCCGGAAAGTCATCACTTCTTCAAGCTCTCTTTCAACTTGTTGATCGGTCAGCAATTAACGGAACTATTCTCATCGATGACATCGATATTGGACGTGTTTCACTCAATCATCTTCGTTCTCATCTAAGTGTTATTCCACAAGTACCCATACTCTTCTGTGGCACACTTCGATACAATATTGATCCATTCGAACAATTCTCTGATGAAGAATGTCTTACAGCACTTGAAGCTGTTCAACTCAAACAATTGGTATGCAACCATCCCGATGGGCTCCATCTGTTGGTAGCTGAATCGGGTACTAATTTGAGTGCTGGTGAACGACAACTGATTTGTGTAGCTCGAGCCATTTTGAAGAGAAGCCACATATTGTTAATTGATGAGGCTACAGCCAATGTAGACCGTGCCACCGATAGAATTATTCAAGAGGTGATTGCTGACAAGCTTCGTGATCGTACCATATTAACAATTGCACACCGATTGAATACAGTAGCCAATAGTGATCGCATTCTTATGTTGCAACAGGGAGAAGTTGTCTACTTCGATGTACCTAGTAAAATTAATCTAACTTAATGCGATTATGAAAGAATGTGTAGTTCTAATAGCGAAATGTCATTGGTAATTATTTTGATTTAGAGTTTTCCACTAGCTATCTCCCTCTGTAGGTGTTCATGTTGGCATCATTCTTTCGTTATTAAAGATATCAAAGATTTAGAATGTTTGGAATATCTTGTTTCCAAGGAAATAATGCATAGTTGTAGCATATAAGTACCATCGATGAATAATTGTTTCTTTACTACCAAGAGAAACAATGTGCGTTCTTGTATATTCACCATTCGACGAAGCAATGGTGCAATGCGAATATCGAAAACCACTCTCAAAATATGCGACCTCAATGCGAAGTACATCAGACACGGTAGGTTTTTCTGGGAAACAAGAATCGTTCATTGATTGTTTGATTACAATCCAGATAGAATTCACTTATTTTACTGTCTATGTTCAATATTGAATGCAAGATCTCCACATGAACGATGAATATGGACAGACAAGTGAAACGATAATCGAGAAAATAGAGTTATCATTTAAGATAGTTTCATATTTTTTAATTAAAACAAAGTCAAAAGACGGAGGAAACATGACTTGAACAGATTTCTAACTGGTTTGAAGTAGACTGCGAAATCGAATGTGACAGTGTTTCTGTTCCATCTTCCAGGATTAAAACCAGACGATTACATCACAAATGTAAACACACATTCAGGCTTTTCTGTTTCAATTTTCAATTTGACTAGGTCTTTGTTTTAATGTAAAAAAAATGCTCAGACATAATGAAATTTTGGACAATTCTTTGTTCTTCGTTTTGCTTTAAATGTCGTCTCAACCATGAAGAAGTATAGGACTTCTGACTCAAGACAATTCAATTCTCAGTCGATTGAGATAATCAATTACAGGATGCAGGCCACCAATTGCATTGTATCTCGATCACGACAATACACATAAATCGAATCATGTTGTTCATGTTTATGAACAAGCAAATCAAGCATTTGTCTGATTGGTTTGAAACGGTCAGAATAATCTGACCAGAAGGAATGCTTAAAAGCTCGTTAATACAAAAATAAACCTACCTTTTCTGTCGTATTTTCTTCGAAGTGTTTGTGACATTCGGTGATATCGATGAATGTCACCAGAAAAAGAATCAATCAACGCAGTTCACACTGAACTTTTCGATTCTCGTCTATGTCATTGCCGAAAGAATTGCACCAAATAAGCGTGAATAAATCAAATATCCAGTAGATATTCAAATCGGTCAGTCGTAATAACACTGTATTGATCAATGAGTCATAACTACTATCATCTCCGTCTTTTTCATTCGAATCATATATACCATCTGATGTCATTTGCACACTTGTTCTATGTATTGTGATGTTCAATGTTGTAATATTCAAGGATTTTCAATAGAATTTCCATTCACGAATGGAACGGATGTGTCCACACCTACACTCAACCTTAATGCAGTTGAATAGTGTTCCATCTCATTGAGTACCACAATGAGATAAACTTGGTATGATCGACTAATCGGTTGAACATGTTGAAAGTAATCTGTTACTTTCTTTTTTCGCATACTGCCAAAGCATTCAAGTCCTGTAATTGAAAACGTGAAGTCTGTATGCCTGAAATAAGAAAACTCATTTAGATCGGATTCTGGTTCAATATGATGAGTAAATATTCAGCTAGAATTGATGCAACATAGTCAACAGCAGCTTCTGATGTGTAAAACACTGTTTGAACACTCAATCGACGAGAGAGAATCCGTTTTTCCAGTATTTGGAATAGTTCTTGTTTGGTGATGGCTTCATCCATATCATCATCTGAACACACATTTTTTGAATTAACTAAGTGCTCTTTCACTTCTTTTTCATGAAAATCCACATCAGATTGAATACCACCATCTGATTCAGCGACGAGCTCCTGATCGATTGTTGATCTCTCGTAAGAAATGGAATATGAGATATTCTCACAGCCATCCAAAGCCGAAAAGGCAGCAATTGACAATGATGGAGTCGCTGCCAGATGACAGAAAACGAATAATGAACGAGGCGCAACTATTTCGCTGATGCCACAGCATCAGCCATCGATCTTGCTGCAGCAAAACGATATACCTCGTCTTGTGTCGCCCACTTCAATATCCAATATCTCGTTAGTGCAAATCAAAATTTCTCACGCAAATGCATCGCATTTAGCCATTGTTAAAAGTATGAGAAAACCGACTCTACTTGGTGCTCTCATCTACCAAGGTGATCACATACAATTAAGTACGGGTGTGTAGCCAGGCTAACGGAAAGAAAATTAACTGTAAAAGCTGCAGGAAAACGAAGAAATTCCTCACGTACTGTTCAGATATGGGTATGGATGTGGATGTGAATATGAATGTTTTCTTCTTTACACCCACATCCATATCCCACTTAAGAAAAAAGTATTTTATGACAATTCCTAAAAACGATTATTTGTTTGTTATGAGACATCGATTTTTTCGATATTCGACATTCATAGCTTTGCATCACCTTTCGCAATCTAGTAAATCTCGAATATCATCTAGTATCTTTTCTCTACATCCACATCAAAACTTGTCCTTTTAGGTCGCGATGATCTCGAGAACGAAAGCTCAGAAAATACTTGTTCAAATGCGTGGCGAAAGTATCAAGAAATTATTGTTCCAATAGGTGAAAACGTACGATAAGATATTCTAGATGAAAATTAAGTAATGACAGTAAACAGATAAGTATATCGACAACCGTTTAACGCTTTATTACTGGTTCATACTAATTGTTCCACGAAACATGGCACGTACAAGTTAGCAGAAAATTTTCAATGTGTTATATCATTGATCGATGTATCAATCTTATGCAACCGAGTTGGCCCTAAGACGAGAAGAAAGCATTTTCTTTCTATTTATCCCCTTCATAAGACTGAAAACAAGACGTTCATTGAGACATTTTTCTAATAGAAATTGATCGCTGAAAAATGAATCTTTTCAGCAGAAGGAGAAAAAATACGACAAATGTGACAATAATCAAAATCAATAAAGTATTACTTAGGTCTGTCCAAAAGTTCTCAGATCATTAAAGAGTAGTATAAAGATAATCAGATATTTTCAATTCTATTTTATCAAACGTTGAAGATAGTTGTCATGATTATTTATATCAAGTTTAATCCTTTCTAACAATTTATTAAAAGTTTTCTTGAAGTCTTTTTCGAAAAAATTTTTAGGTACTTTGGAAACCGCATCAGCACATCATATTTCATTTATTTAATCAGTTAAACTACGCCCAACACAATCACTTAACCATACATTGTGTAGTATCAAGTCTGGTAACTATGGTAGATGTGACATTATATTAATGCCTTTTACTGTCAAATAATTAATAATATTGAATGAGTATGAAGTCAACGATGATCGTCAAGCAATTTTGTACATTTTGAACCTAATATCTATGTTAGTGTTCATATTTCATTAACAAAAAGCTTCGGGGAATTTTCAATATAATAATTGTGATCTACAGTTTTGCCTTCATCTACACTCAGGATTATGTGATATAAAAAATATACTAAACAAAGTTTTGGTTAAGATCTGTCTCCATAAACAACAGTCTTTGACAATTCATTCTCAATAAGCCAGTTAGCATCATATGACTTACGACTAACTTATCTAAAATAAATCGATGTCACATCACTAGTACTGCTAGAATGCTACTGACATGATTGAACAAAATTTTTCTAAACTTTGAAAACAAATGAAATATGATTAGCTGATGCGGTTTCCAAAGTACCTAAAAATTTTTTCCAAAAAAACTTCAAAAAAACTTTTAATAAATTGTTAGAAAGGATTGAACTTGATATAAATAATCATGGCAACCATCTTCAACGTTTGATAAAATAAAATTGAAAATATCCGATCATCTTTACATTACTCTTTAATGATCTGAGAACTTTTGGACAGACCTAAGTAGAAGCTCTTATTTTTTGTTAAATAGAACGGAGTAATTTTTGTCTACTTTGTTAGGCTACTCCATGTGCATGCTCGATAAAGTAATACAGCTGAGGGCCCCATTAAGTACGAGTAATAGGAGAGCGAAAGAAAAGAAAAAGAAAGAGAGAGTAAAGAAAAAAAATCAACACTGCATAAAAAGTATTTCTTTTTTCTATCATTTTTCTGTGCAACAATAAGATGGATGAAGGTCGAGAGTATACGTACGAAGTAATCGACAACGAGAACGATGCACGCACATGTGCGCAACTAATTGCCGAAGAATTCGCTGCACACGAACCTATATGTGTTTTTAGCCAAATAACACCGCAATATTTCTTTCAAGAAGCATCATGGCCATTAATAGCAGAAATATTCGAGGAACGTTTGTCTTTTTTGGCACGACATCGTGCTTCGGGTGAAATCATTGCTGCTATTTTTGCCAATGACCTTTATGTTGCGCGTAAGAAACATCCATATAATGCCGCTAGTTCTCCAGCAGCAATTCCTTTTACAGATTTACTCGATGAAATGGATGACATTTTTGTTTGTCACGACTTTGGCCAAGAATTGAAGCCTAACATGGTCTTACATATTACAATAGGTGCAACACGAGCTGCCCATGCTGGCAAAGGTGTAGCTGGTCGATTGCGTGCAGCTATGTGTAATCATGCTCGAGACACAAAAGGATTTCAATATGCACTTGTCCAGGTATCAAATCCGGCAACGCGTCATATCTATAGAGAAAAGATGTGTGGAAAAGAATTGACAATCATCGATCCAAGAACATGGGTGTGGAAAAAGAAAGATGATGGATTATCATGTCCATACAAGGACTATGAAGGTGGATCTATACCGAATATTCTTCTAAAGCTGACACCAACTGAAGGGAAGTAATCAAGGTTGATTATTTCACATGATTGCCAGTAAAATTATATAACTCAATAACGTATTCTAGTTCGATCTTTTCACATGTATTCTTTTAATTATATATCAAATAATATCATGTAGACCGACATATAGAAAGTGATGCTGTATTTACTTTGAGTGGAGAATTTTTCGACCAAAAGAGTTTTTATAGGTACAAAGTGAGACCACAATTGTCCATTATTTAACTATTGGAAATCCACTACATGTTTGAGAAGGCTTTTTTTATTCAAGTAAATTGTCCCTCTCCGAATAGTAGGATTTTCGAATTCATTAGAGAAACTCAAATCATCACGGATCCATACTCCACAGCTGAGTGTCTTAATAAATAATGTTTCGGTACTGTCGTGTGATCTATTTGTTTCGTATGTATGTAACAATGATGATGAAGAAAAGCAATAAACATCGGATCATCTATGCAATATTACGCAAGCATTCACTCTTTGCTATGTCTTCAAACAAGAGTTGGCGAAATTCGATAAATTAAGTTTGAAAAATGAATGAAAATTCATAAAAATCCAGCTGTGAGCAGATTATCAACAAGGGAAATTTCCAAAGGATTGTATCTAAAATTTTTAGTCGTTATCGAAAGTTTGGTTATTTCTGAAATTTTTCAATTTTCCGAAATTCTGAAATTGACAACCCTAGTCGAACTTTTTTTGGCATGTGCATAGAAAACATGAACATCTTGAGCAAGAATGTCATGCACTATGGACACATCTTGAGGCAAGACTTGAGGCCTTTCGGTGAGCTCAAGTTCTTGAACTTCTTGTTCTATCGCTTGATATTCTTACTCATGCGCTTGAATTTTTATCTAAGCTTTTCTGTTATTAAAGAATCTTTTCAATTTTTTTTTCAATTTTACGTTCAAAATCACCCCCCTTTTAATAAAAATACATAGTTGCATTTTCTTGTAACTCATGCAAACACTCAAGCGCTTATGTTGGGCAAGAAAGTTATGCGCTATGGACACATCTTGAGCTCAAGTCTTGGCAAGCGTTTGAATAAAAAAGTTCGAGTAGGGAAATTTCAATATTCTTTCCTCTGTACTGCTATGTAGTGTTTACAATTAAGAAATTTTTGAAGATTTCCTTGTGCAGAAATCTGCACATACATCAAAAATATCGAGACTGCTTCAGGCTATTATGGTTTGAGAAGATTAATATCGACACTATATCCTTTTTAGATGTGTCGTCTTAGAGGAGGAATACTAGCAAACAATCCAGCTATACGAAAAGGAAAAAACAAACGAGTTGAGAAGAGAAAAAAGAATAGATACACAAAAACAACGGAGACAAATGAAAATAGAACTGTTTCACACTAGAAATTCATCAATTTTTAACGAAAGTTTACTGACAAGTGACTACGAGTTGATCTATGGTAGGTTTTCGAACATTTTTGTCACACTTAGCTTATTTATATCGACTTGAACGAGTGACACCATTCGATTGGTCATCGATTCTTAAATCATGCTGAAGTAGTGATGAGTTATGGAGATGCATTTGAATAATTCTATTCAAAAAACGTCGTCTGTTATTTGTTGATCAAACAATTTTATACTCTTGAAAATGACTTTGAAGACAAAAAGTCAAGCGCGAATAAGATCAAAGAATATACTAGCATTAAAAATTTGTAGACGATGATGATTGTTTATTGGTGAAGATTTCTTCTCATTTTCTTGATTATAATCAATTCGAACAACATTCAATCAGCTTTTATTTGAAATGAAACCAAGTAAACAGAAATTTAGTTAATGTTCACAAAAGATTATATGTGATTTATTCGAATAAATTCAATTCCGAATCTTAGACGTTGAATGACAATATCGACATGCTATGACGTTATATTTGTGTTGAATATACTCGAAGATGAGTAACGATTTCCTGTTCAATTGAGTCATTTTCAGCCAAATTTTTCGTCGCACCCATACAACTCAATCTTAAAAAAAGAAAAGTCTCTACAAAAAATTTGACAGTGAACAATGATTCGCCAGCGTTCGATGATGAGAATTTCCATCCGTATCTATTCGATTGGCAAAATACGTATTACGGCTAAGACTGATTTTCCGATGGGTAACATGAATGATCCGTTTCAAGGGTATTGTGTTCGTGTTCCGAATGACTTGTTGGTAACCAATTAATTGTTCTTCGCTTGTACACTTTGATTGTTTTTCTTTCATGACGATTATCAATGTATCGTGATTGTGCTGAAAGAAGCAAAGTTCCTTTCTTCGTAAACATACTGAGTGCACACAGTCATGTCCATATTTACTGGGTCAAACAAATTGATCCAATGTGTTTGCCTAAGATGAATTCCTGTCACAACTTTAGTTTTAGACTACTGGTATTTTCTCTCGCTAAAGATTATTTTTGGAGAAACCTGCGACACGTCTTTTCAACAATCATATCTCGAGGTATTCTCTATCGACTTCGTCGCGGTCATTCTTTCTATGTTGGTATACTTCTCCTTCAGATCGTCATTCTCCGAGCTATTAGCCTTATTCTCGCTCAAGCGTGACATTTATTGTTTTGGATGAGAAACATGACAGAAAAAGTTACCAGAGAAACTTTACTGATGATTCAGACATAGGAGCCAAGTACATAATCAAATGGATTCAACCAATCGCAGCTACAAGATTTCGATAGTGATTTGGACTTTCTCCTTTTTCTTAGTCAATGTGGAGCGCTCGTGAAAAATTGAAACTAAGGCATAAATTTTGAATTAGTAACTGACTCAGATATAATTGATTTCAAGGATAGGTCAATCACATGAAATGCTCGACAGAAATCATTTTGAATATTTTTTGCTATCGTAGAGTGGCACTAACAAATTTAGCCTGTTCATAAATCTTGGAAAACTCAATATGGAAACATACTGACATTGCACTTCTGTATCACATAAGATGAATAAATTCTTCTTTTATAAAAAAATCTGTCTCATGGCGAAATTTGCTCTTTCTTTTATCACAAACCCATAATTCGACAGTATGAAGATAGTTGGAGGATGAATTCTGGAGCGTTCTAAACACTTTCTAAATGAGCATCTCAAATCGAGCCGAAATCTTGAGATTTTAGTTGATAGTGACGACATGTTTCGACATGATTCTGTATCAAGCGTAGTTCATCTTGCTGACAACCTAGATAGTAAGTTTTCATCGGAGGGGTGGGTGGGTGTGAGTGTGGCTCTTTTAGCCTACACTCACATCAACACCCTACTCCACCCACATCCATACCTGATTGGTCAATTGCATATCTATTCGACCATGCGAATAGCCGCCTTCATAAGGGCTCCCATTATTCCAAGAAGGAGACAATTCACTCCGAGAGCCAATTTTACTTTGTGAATTTTCTTATTGTCATTAGGTATTAGAGGATCATGAGACAAGATAGTGCTTCTTTCGATCAGATATTAAATAGGTGGTTAGCAATAATACCTTTGTCTACAAGTATCTTCGATTGATTAGAAATTCTTAAAGCTACTAGACGTGAAAGACACGGTAACGGTTGTCGAGGAAAGTAACCAAGTGTTTCCAGATAGCTGAATACACCGAGTCGATTCAAAACTTCACCATCTGAATAATAAATGTTTCTATCGTCGGGTAAATGTGGGTGTGAAGATGTGTGCAGATATGGACATTCATTTCTTTCACACCCACACTGTATGTTAAAGAATGTTTGTTGACAGGAATAGTTCCACCGAATGTTAATCTGGCTGGTCACAATTATTGAGCGAAACGGGGGAAGAAGACTTTAAAGCGTCTCATGCATTTCTAAAAGGCTCTTAAATGTGGAGTCGCATTAAAGTTTCGATGCTTCTCGATGATACTTTCGCAACGAAAAGATCAAATTTTTTCCTATTTCACACGAGATCAATGGTTGAATCTTGGAATTTCTTAGTACAAATCTTTCTGAAATAAATCAACACATAACTGTGAGAGGAATGGATTCACTTTTCTCGGAAACCAATACAAATATTTGTTTAGAATGATATTTCGCAAAAATGATGTCAAGGAATACATTTACACAATCTTTCTTTTCAATGTTGAATTTAAGGATGTAGGATGTGGATGTCCGATAGATGTAAATTGTGTTCTCGTCTACATCACACATTTAACTATAGTCTATATGTTTGTCATAATATTTATACCATTGATACCAATACAATTTGGTATTAGATGACAATGGTATTGCATGTTATCGAATGATATTTAGTATTAGCTGGTTTTTAGTACCAATATTAGTTAATATCAATACTGACATGTCTAACTGGTATTCCTTTAGCACGTGCTCCACCGTTAATTGATAGTATCGTTATAGTTGGTGCTCCTTTTCATAAAAAAAAATGCTCCGCACATTAATTAATGTGTATAGCACTTTTTCTATGAAAAGGAGCACCAGTCATAATGATACTATCAATTAACGGTGGAGCACGTGCTAAAGGAATATCCAAGTTTTTTTTCATCAAGTGTTCGAAATAATAACCTTGGTTATCTACATACAATCATATTCGTTGAATACATTTATCGAATGTTTTTTGTACTCTTATTTATTCAAAGAGTTCATGAAACCGTCATCCTCACCCTCACTCTCACGAACAAAGAGAAGATCGAGATGAGAATACATATCGAATCCAATATGTTTTGATGTTATTGTTACGTATCATAGTCAAACAAGTCTAATAGAAATTTTATTATTATGATACTAGATGAATAATGATCAAATAGTGTAGAAATGTAGAGCTTTGTTTTTACCATCAGTCTATATGAAAAGAAAATTTTCTCAAGTCGTCTATACGAAATTGACATAGGACCGTCACTACTTTTGGTACGCCCAAAGTATTTTCTCTCAAGTTACTTCAGACAAGAACGACAAAATTAGTGACACTCATTCGCAATTACATGTATCGTTCATTTGCATAGAAGCTATAAATTCAAAGGACATTTGAATGCGTGCAGCGCCCACTATCTTCTTTGTCATACTGAGGAAATAATCAGTGGTTGATTGAAGCCAACCAATACGCACATCGAAGAAACTAACAGAGGAGAGAGTAATTTTTCTCTGACCTTGTCTACTGATCTATCGTAGAAGCAACAGGAGCAGGATAAAAGAACGAGGCAATCAAAAAGAATTTCCTATTGGTACTCAATTACATAAACAAATGGCTTTGTATGCATCTTATTTTCTACTCAATTGGACTGACCATGTGACAGTAATATCTATCAAATGTGTTATCAAATTGTCACTTATGAAGATACAGCAAAATTTGATGCAGTTTAGACTGTGTATAATTTCAAGTTTTCTAAGGTCAGACATAATTTCCGAAGTTTGATGAATATTATACTCATCCAAGTTGGCATAATTATTCGAGCAAACGCTAAAATTTCTCTGTAGGTAAAGAACATTCCTTATCACCCTCGACAATTTCATCTGTGTTATTTTGATCTAATAGCGTGTTCTGATGAAAAATGAATCATCTCTAAAAAATATTTCTTGAGTACGAAGTTGAGTTTATGCATTTCGTATAACTCAATGTAGAGAAATTTCTCAAGACAAACATGGTTGTAGGCGAGATATTAATTTGCATCAAGCATGTTTGTACTTGTTCTGCTTTTCATTAATTATCCAGACAGTCAAAAACATATATAAACACATACAAAAAGACAAAAGTGGTTGTTTTCCTCGCGTCATCGGAAACCACGATTTTAAAGCATAATATGACCATTTTGTTCCTTTTTTGTGCGTTTAAAGCTGTTGTCGATCCTTGTAACTCCTTGCGTAAGTGACTCATTCCATAGAAAAGCGCGCATCAATCCTTACGAATATGAATAAGCATATTCACTTTTGAGTGATGCTATGAAATTGTTTCTTCGTGTCTTTTCTTTCTTTCTTTCTTTCTTTCTTTCTTTCTCTTTTTCTGCGTTGTGTTGCCATATAATCGTGATGAAACAGCAGTGATGTATTTGGTAAAGATGACAGACAAAAAATAATGAATTTTTACATAATCTAATAGTTCTTTCTTAAAATTCTTTCAATAACTATTTCCATACATAGAAATAGAACAACTAGTCTGCTTGGGCTCTTTTTCTCAAGAAATTAAGTTCGAACTCGTTAATGAAATCTTGTTGAGTATGAAAAAAAAAGAAAATCATTATAATAAAGCAAAGTCAATTCTTATGTCACCAGTATTGTGAACGCATGCTTGAGAAAGAAATTTATCAGGTACTGATACTATTGCTTGCCAATACGCCAACATTTGTGTTGACAAAAAAAAGATGAAGTACCATTTGCTTGTGTTCTTGAGCAGAAAACGACCATGATGATCTGTTTTTTGTTAGAGCTAGTCCTTTTTGGATCGTATATTTACTCTTCTGTTGAAGATGAAAAGTCGATAGGATATCAAATTGATTACATCGATTTATTTCTAATTTGAAATCTTCATTAGATGGCTAAATTTATCGTATATCTTCCATTAAACCCGATAGGCAACGATCTGCAGTATTCAACATAAAAGGTATCGAACAGTAAAAGTAAAGTATTTATAAAATTCAAGAGTATCTCGATCATTTTGCTATGACTATCTGACATTTGAATTCATTTCTATTTGATTCTACATTATTCTGATGAATAACTGGTGAGAGAAAGCGAATTCGACATTTCGTAAGTTTCTTATGTTTGAATCTTTTTGTCAATAACGACACCTAATACTCAGATTATTCATGTTTTCTTATTACAGGTCGATGAATTTTGTTCATATTTTTTCAAGAGCAAGCCAAATAAAGATTATTGAATATCTTCGGCTATAAAAATATTGTTTTTTTTTCGACTTTTTTTTGGCTAAATTGTGGTTCCCTTGGATCGCAAATCGATGACATAAGCCACGTATCTTTGTGATCAATTGGTTAACATGTATGTGCAAATGAATAATTATTTGCTTTCGTTCTCTTTTTCAGTTCTGTCGAAAGAGAAAAACATATTCTACCTGTACACCAGAATAGTATTGATTTCGTTGCGAATACTATGAAGAAAAAAAAAATAAGGTATCGCTTGACTTCATTCATACGAAACAAAAACATCACATTCAATTCGTGATTTTTTTTTCTCCTTGAAAGTATCATTTAGCATGGCAAAATCGAGTTCGTAGCTTTCTGTTTTACTTGATCCTTATTACTATAAGCTTGACTTTTAAAATCTAATGAACATGTTACTCACGATCGACGTCATGTTTTTTTTTGACATTTATTTAGTAAAATTTCTATCGGCAGTTATGAACCATAGTCCCTAGAAGGACACTATTCCTACTTTCTAGGGTTTCTCTATAATCACTGAAGAAAAATCTTCATTACTCTCAGACAAAATAGATCTTAACTTGTAGAATAAACTTTCTTCTCAACTTCAAACTATCTAACTTTTAATTCTCGAGGTGTAGATACGGTATGAGTGATAAAAATGACTCAACTTATGTTCCTTACTTTACCAATAAGAGTTGATAGAGTAAATCAAAAATTTTTTCTATGTCACTCGAAACAAATTGGAGTGACTGCTGTTTTTGTTCCAAAGACGAACATTGACGAGAAGTTGATTTTGAAAGATACAAATCTTTTGATTACCTCTGTCCTAAAATAAGGCTATTCTAAAAGCATGTTTTTCACGCCGACCATACATAAAACGAATGCTAATGTTCATTTTTCAGAATCGGCACGATCAAAAACTCTACAACTTTCACAATAGACTATTCTCATTAAGGTCTATCTCTATACAAAGTTTCAAATCGAATTTCGAAACTCAGTTTTTCTAATGTTTCTGAGTAAGCCGCAAGATTTTGTTAAAAAATACTCATTAGAACCTATATAATGTACATAGTTCCAACACAAAAGCAATTTGACACTTAGAAGCGTTTCCTCGTAACCTAGAAGTTATGTGCAATGCAATGAAACGGAATAATGTTTGTTATAGATAAAACAAAACACCTAATTTTCTATGTTTTAGATTGATTGTTAGAAATATTGCAAAAGCATTTTATTTACCTATTTGATTAACCGATCATCATTTAGTTAAATATGGATGAACAACTGTCTTCGGCTAATTTGAAAACTCCAGATTTACTTGCAGCAAATAATCAACATTCCGATAAGATATTATCCGATAGTCGAACAGAAGATATTCATTTATTTTTACCATTGGATGTCATTAATACAATCAGCAAAAGTTTGACCTTATTTCATGATCATGATCACAAAAGTTCGATTGAACTACCAATTACAAAACAAACAGTGATCAAACAAATTCGAACTGATCTATCCACACTAACGAATTCACCTGGATTAGATGAATTCAACACGGAAATTGCAGGAATAATTCAACAAGTATTCGATCGTACTACGACAACGAATACAACTTTACAAAATGCTATACAATCGATCACTGACAAACAACAACAATTGAAAAATTCCTATGCTGAAAAATTGAAGGATAATGAAAATGCGATTACTTCTATATTTTCTCAGCCATTTGTCGATTCTTCGAATTCGGAGAATGTATCAAATGAAAATCAAACAGAAAGCAATTCAGTCAAACAAATACGATTACATCAATTTCGAGCTGAACAACTCTCGTTTTTTGCTGTGCAATCATTAATATCCATGCTATTGATGTTACTTAAGTCAGTAGAAAAGTATGATTCCACTATTGTTCATCAAATGCTAATTTTAACGAACCAACTTATCGAACAAATTCCATTGAACTATCTTTCATCAGATGTTTACAAACGATCAAGTAATTTGTTTAAATCTTTGAAACCATTAGCCAATTATATCAGCGAATTATCGATGCAAACTGAAATTGATCCTATTGCATCAAATCAATCGATTAAAATCTTATTGAATTTTTCGATTGTCAAAGGATCATTCAAAGATGTTCTATCATTAATAGGAAAATTAATTTTCAATACAACTGATATTTATGATATAAGAAAGTTATTCATAGAATTGAATAAAGATCTAACAACAATGATAAACCAATTTCAGAAAGACAAAAAAATATTAAGTGACACAACAATAACTACACCACAGAATGTTGCAGATACCGATGGAACATCCAAAGAACAGGACAAGCCAGGTAAAAAAAATCCATGTAGAGTTATCGAAATTCGAGCTATTTGAAAAAAGCTCATCAAACTCTTCATGTGTTCAATTGAAAAAGATACAAATTTTCATTGATCTCCTATACATATATTTTGATATTGATCATCTGTTGAAGCTAGAATATCCCTGTCTTTCAATTATTTTGCAGTATAGAGTGTTGTTTAATGGCAGATTCTTTAGCCCGATATCTTCCCTACAATTAAAACTAAGTATACCTCTTGACAGAAGGCTAGCCTGATCAAGAGCTCTTGTACTCAATCTAACTAAACACATACTAGCCATGAGGGCATGTGTATGTGATAATCATAGTACTGTGACTCAAATAAATACTTTCGAAGAAACATTTTAATCATTCTTCTATTTAGTTGTTCTAAATTCGATCTCTTCTAGAAGCCGAATTATCTACTGAGAAAATATCCGATATCGAACGTAATTGTTTGGCTTCATTGGAATATCTCAAATCAATTGAAGCGTTTCCAAGCACACAATTAATAGCATCAAAGGAAAAGAAATTCACTGGTCAATTCATATCTTCAATATTACTTGTTCATATTGATTTATATAATCAACTTCATGCGGAATCACAATTCGAACGTGGTTCTATGTATGGTTCGTTTTCATTCGAATTGGAATCAGAAACATTCAAATATTTATATGAAATAATCGAACATTTAACTATGATGCAATCATCATCGAACAATAATCTCGACTATATCGTCACTGTTTGTCTACGATTATTCACGACCCATTTAAAATTTTTAATCACTTCAAATAATGAAAATTTTCATGATTTTATGAATGAAAATGATATTGAAAAATGGTTCATATTGATATCAAAGTTTACTTTCGATGATAAATCAGAAGAAAGAAAAAAAGAAGCATCGAAAGCTTTGATCTATTTAATTGATAAGAAAACATTATCATTTCCCAAAACGTTAACATTCTTTTACACACATATCATGGAAAATAAACATCCGATATTAGTTCAACAAATATTTGATAAATTAGCACAAAATATATTTATATATAAATGGATTGAAACTCTATGCGATGATCATAATGTTCAAGATAAAACATTGGCATATACAGTCTTACATTCATTTATTGATATTGTCTTAAAACCAAATTCGATGGATGTTGAAAAAGTCAGTCAACTACGCAAGATTATATTCATGTTTCAAGAATTACTATTCGTTCACTTAAATAATCAACCAATCGATATATCAAATGAACTCCAATTATCTGCTCTATCGACACTTGGTATGGAATATACCACACATGTCATCCAATATTGTATCCAACAACGAGTTCAAAGTATTTTATTACAACCACTTCTTTATGATCTATGTGCTCTCACTGAATCGAAATTTAACTTTGCTAATATACAACCAATTTTTACTGCTATTCTACCTATATTTGCCGAATATTTAACACAAACAACAATTGATGTAGACGATAAAAATATCTATTTAATTTCATGGTTATTAGGAAAGATGAGTCATCGATTAATTATCGGTCCACAAGAAAGTCCATTAGAAAAAAAATATAATACTACATTGAAATTACCATTATTTGCTGGTGGATATGAAACATTCACAATAGATAGTAATCCATATTTATCGAATTTATTCAAATCTAATTTAACTGTTTACAGTCAATTTGTAGTACCCTATCGACGGCAACAATCAGTATTAGACAGCGAGTTTTTACTTTCGATTTATAATAATACTGATCAAGGTGCACAATTAATTTCAAAAATGAAATCATTTATTCGAGATAAACAACAAATCTTACAAAAATCAATTGAATCGAATGCTAATGATGCTTGTGCTGCAGTATTTGCCGTCTATATAAAACATTATCGTCGTATTGATTTAGCTCAACGTGAATTTACTCAACCGATTGATCAAAAACCTCATGCTAAACTTCTCTCACTTTATGAATATGCTAATCAAGTACGAATGATTTTCGCTACAACTAAAGCTCAAGGTGGTGATTGTAATGAACTTTATAAAAAAATTAAAAATGATACATTATTATTACTTGTATCAGTCAAAGAGAGTTCTTTTATTTCAACAATTAAAGAAGATTTTTCAATACCAATAATCATCAACAATCAATTTAAATTAAAACGACAAAAATCACATTGGACAAAAGCAAAATATATTATTCGACTACTTCGTAATGTATTGAATGCTTGTGTACGATTGAAATATTTAATGTTAGCAAAAAAACAGGCTATCGAACAAAAGAAAGATAGTGAAAGTGTCATGCATCGAGCTATTACTAGTTGTCTATTTGGAAATGATATATCAACATCTGTAATGAAGAATGATTTGAAAATTCAATCTGATGAAGTTGTTAAATGTTTAATTCGACAATATCAACGAGCTATGACTAGATGGATTACATATGTATTTATTTATCGATTTATCGAACAAGTAATCATTATTAAAGATAATAATCGAATTTTAAATATTCTAATTATGAATTTAATGAATTTAAAAAGTAATAATTTAGATTGGCATTATCTTGAAAATATTCAAGCATCGAATAATCAATTGAAAGAAGATATTGGACATCGATACTATTCAATTGTCAAAAAAATACTATCATTTTCAAACGAATCTACATTTGAACCTAATATGAAAACAGTATTCATGTTTTGTTTATTTAATCTATTAAATCTATCATATGATTCAATGGATTTATGTCATTTCAATCATTTTCAATTTATTCCTGAACTATTTAATTCGTTTGTTAGATTTGCTCAAATAGATTCGACTATCACCATTTCAAAAGATATGAAACTAACAGCATTCAACTGGTTTCGTCTATTTGTATTAAAATTATGTGATAATATTGAAATAGAAGAATTGCGAAGTACACATTTTGGTAGTCGAAAATTTCATCATATCTTACAACAACAACGTGATTTGATTTTTAGCAAGTTAATTTTAACTGAACTCAAACAATTGCAAGAAAATAAAGCAATATCAACATCGGAAAAAGAAAATGGAAATCCATCATTGAAAAATGCTTCCATCGGTTATTTTATGACATCATCATCATCAACATTTGATGTCGATGCTTGTATCAATCAATATTTAATGCTTCTACTTCGTTGTATTCATTTGTATGATCATATTCGATCAAATTGTAGTACAATGGAATGTATTCAACAATTATTGAGTTTATATTATCAAAGTCAACTTCTTAATACTCGTATATTAATATTAAAAATTCTACGTGATCTATTAGTCTTCTTACCAGATAATACGAACGCAACAACATGTCGATGTTTTGTTGAAAATTTATTAACAGATATTTTACTTTCTATTGGTCAGAATTTTAATTTATTGGAAATAAATAAAATAGATCTTGATATTGTCATTGAATTTATTTATATTTATCGTACGATTATGTCACAAAATTCTCCATGGCAAAAAATGGCAACTAAATTAATTATTGATGCAATTAAATCAAGTACGAATTTCAATTTTACATCGTTAGAATCTATTGAAAACCGACAAATGAATATCTTTCTTGCATCCTTATGTATCTTAGGTGGTTATATTGAACCATATTGTTTAGGATCAACAGTAGAAATTTATGACATTGATAAAAATATTCATGAATCAAAATCAGCAACTATCCTTGAAATCGATACAAATGCTCTTGAATCGGATTCATCTGATGTTAAACCTTATCTCGTGCAATATGCTGCAACAAATCATATCCAATCGGTTTCATCGAATCAATTACGTATTATTACCGATGTTCAACCACCAAATCTCTCACTTTTACCAATAGATAATGTAGTTCATATTATTCTTGATACATTAGGCTTTCTTGCACAAATTGATACATCGAAAAGTGATTCATTGATATTATTACAAATAAAACGTCGTGCTATAATAGCATTTTATTCATTATTAAATAATAAATCAATTGTCGATATTTTCATGCAAAAATCTTATGCATCTCTTATTGCTAAACTATCGATATCGATTGATAATATTGATTCAACTCATAGAAAAAAACCGAATGATTTACGATTATTTGATCGATTACATCTAGAACAATATAATTTAAGTTTAGATAAATGTGCGAGAACAAAACAAATTGTAGAAGACGAACCTGCTGTTGTTCGTAATATAAATGGATGGAATCAGATCAAAATTAATCGTGATCCTCTTATTCTACAAAATCTATCTGCAACGAGTTCGATTGACGAAGAATGGAGACCGATTATATTTAAAAATGAAATACAAACTTATAAACGAGGCAAAATTGGAAATGATGAAATTCATATTATTGCTCGACCTGCCAATGAGAATCTACCGCCATTAGAAGAATGTGGTGATAAACATAAATTCAAAGGAAGAGTTAACATAACCGATGATAATGGAAATATTCGATATCCAACTTTTATTGTTGATGGTATAGAATTGAACGAAGGAAAATGGTATTTTTGTGTTAAATTTCTATTAGGTGGTCAAGCACAAGTTGGCTGGGCAACAAATGGATTTACTCCTGTACCAGATAGTTCACAAGGTATTGGTAATGATCAATATTCATGGGGTTATGATGGATCACAAGGTATTTGTCATCATAATCAACAAAGTAGTTTTCGTGATGAAATTCGTTGGAATGCAGATGATATATGTGGTTGTGGTATTGAAATTGATGGTGAAAATACTACTATCAAATATTGGTTAAATGGTCAATTTTTAGGTACGGCATTTTCACATTCAGAAAATACTACTATAGAATCAACCATTAAAACAAATTTATTGCCTCATGGACTTAGTACTACATATTATCCTGGTGTTAGTATACAAGTCTATAATAATGTGGCTAATACAGGTGCTGTTGAATTTATTTTTAGTCCAGAAGATATGATTCAATGTCCTTTACCAAAAGGTTACAAGCCATTATTAATACCAACATTAATGACAATGGAAAATGTACTAGTAGCTTATCCATATAGTGCCTATCTTATTGGTAATGAAATTGAACACTATTTCTATACGAGTCGATATTTGAAAAATGATGATTTCACTGACAAGAAAATTTCGTTGATACGTGATTTTGTTAATGATCATCATTGTGAAGTTCCATTCAATATTGATATGATAACACATGATCATCATTTATTGAAACTATCAGAAGATAGTGATGGTTTTCCTTTGTCAATTGATAATTCTCAATCGTTGACTATTAGTTTCGATTTTGAAATTATTACAACAGAAGAAATGGAAAATCGTTCTGATGAACTCGATATTATATTATTTGCATTGGAGAATGAAATGATTTCTATTCGAATATGTATGAATGATATAAATGATGATTTTATTGATGAAACAATGAAATATCGACAACGTGTTGCTATTCTATTTCAAACAAATGAACAAGCAAAAGTTTATATCAATAATAAATATCAAACATTGAATTATTGTCATCGTTTTGATCTAACAAAAACATCCAAACTCAATCTACAACTTTTACCATATCAAAATGTTGGAATTCGAAATTTGGCTGTATGGAAATATACATTATCGGAAGAACATATTCGACGTCTTTTCACATATGGTCTCTTGTATGTTGCTGTTGATTATCAAAAATTAAATGAATATCGAAAACAAGCAAATACATTCGTATTTATGGCAGAACAAAAATATTTTACAAATGACATACTAATTCCATTCAATGAATCATTTCAAGAAAACCTATGGGAGAGAAGAAAACAATATGTTGATCTTGATGAATCGATCTATTTTAAGACAATATCAGGCACTAATCGATCGGTCGTACAATTGTTCGGAAATAAAACTTATCTAGTTTTAAACACTTCAAATCAAGTATGGTCCGAATATACGTTAATTCTTGATATTTCGATACCTAGTTTTCCATTAACAAACGATCAATCAGTTGCATTGAATAATGAGACTCGATTAACATTATTGACATTGGATACACAATCAGAAATTTATCTAACACATGACGGTCATATTTGTCTATCCGGAGGACATCAAAGTTCATCAATAGTGAAATTACAAGAATACATTCGTTTGCTCATTTCTGTTCAACAGAAATCTGTTCATATCTATGTCAATGGTTCATTAGAACTCAATGCATCAATTAAAGATGATCAATTTGCAACGAAATTGAAACGTATCGACCTATTTCGAGAAATAGATTTGACTAAAAATACTACCGGTAATGATCAATTACGAATTGAATGTCGATCAATAACATTTTGGAATAAATCAACCGATATTGTTCGTCCATCATTGGCTAAATTGATTCAATCAACTGAATATTCTTTAGATCAAGTAGTTGCGCCACCGTTTTGGATTCTATCAACAAGTCTCATTGGTATTGGTTATAAAGAAGAATCGATCAAATATGTAATGAAACAATATAATACGACAACTATTCATTTTATTGATACCATTCTACGAGAACAAAGTCAAGAAATAGAAAAGATACATCAAGATGAACAACAACAGAAAAAGATCAATGTATTAGCACGATTGAATTCCTATGACGAAAATGGAACATTAGCAATGTTGATGAAATTTGACAATAATGCAAAAGACTTGTCAATAACGACATTGTCTAATGATATGTTACCTGATGATGATGATTATGACAAGACATCCGAAAATGAATGGTATCGTAAAACTGTTTGTGATGTAGGTATTCATGAAAAATTAACTGAATGGATGCGAGATAAAACAGAAACAAGTCAATTAACAATGGATGATCCTCGTTATAAACTTCTTGATTTAACTAAACCAGATTTCGAAGAAACAACAATTGATAATGAATTAAGAAAGAAAATGAAAAAATCATTACATTATTTACATCGACAAATACCACGAAAAACTTATATTCATTCACGTACAAGCTGTGAATATGGACTAATAACAATTTATGCACGTTATACAATATTGAATATGTTCAAAGTCTGGTACAATGGTGATCATCATAATTTATTTCCACTTAACAAATTTGGTGACGGAAATTTTATTGTAACATTATTACGATTGATGGATTATCATTATACATGTACACGTACACATGTGGATGAAACTATTAATAGAATGAAATTATTGACAATGTCAATATTAAAAATTGAAATAAAAGAATTATTGAAATCTATGACAGATGAACAAATTACTGACGACATATTGAATAGAAAAGCTCAATTATTCTATCAATTACAAAAACATGTTATTGAAGAATCAATTCATTTTCTTGCTGAACCATCTTTAATCGTTATGAATAATTATAATGATGAAACTATTGATGAACAAATGTTAATTAAACAATCAAATTTAGATTTTCTTCTAAATATTGTAAATCTCTTTTTAGAATTATTGACCGATTTTGAGATGAAAAAATATAATATCGATCTAATGATTCAATTATTATTTCCAACATTATTTATCAAGATACTTTTCGATCTATTTTTATTAGTACCATCACACCGATCCAAAATATTCATTCTCCATATTTTTACCACGTTAGTATATTCAAATTGAATAGACAAATTTGTAGTCGATGTTTTCTTTCTATTCATTGTATTAGAAAATTTTCTTTCTATTTTGTTAAACATCATCTAAAATGAGTTTCATACAGACGTTGTTAGCATATGATCAAAGACCGTATATCAATAATGTCTTGTTACTATATATGAACTATTTCCTTATTGTATTTTTCGATGATTAAGTAAAATAATTGACGAGTTCAGTGGATATGACAAAAAAAAAAAGATCGACTACAAAATAAGAATTCAAATCAGATTTGAATTCAGATTTTATTAATATTTTTAAAATAGATTGATTCAAAAAAGTGAAAATTTCAAACTTCATAACAATATTCAACATTTCATTCTACAACTTTTTATTGAATTAACAACAAATAAAGCATGTCTAGATAATTTAGCATTGAAAAATTTTCGAATTGCTATTATGGATCTAGCATTTTCTCTATTCGGAAGACAAAAAGAATTACTTCTAACATTAAATGAATGTCCATCAGAAGCACGTGATGTATCAATAATCCTTGATGTTATCAATATTTTAACAAACAAAACAAAACAATTCCAATGGCCTGAATCGCTTCTTACTCAATCAAGTACTATTTTAGGCGAAAGACTTTCATTAACTAAAGATATGGTTGCCAAGGCCGATGTTCATTTCAATAGAAATGCTGATGAACAATTAATGAAATTTATGAATCAGAATATTAATCGTGATTGGAATCCATTACCACATGAATCACTTAATCAATTTATCGAAAGTCTATCAACCGAGTCTGTTTCTGATACAACCAAATATCATTCATTCAGTTATTTACGTGATATACCATCAATACATATACAAACACGTGCTAAACTTTTCTATTTATTCAATATATTTATTGGAAAAGTTTTACTAATAATTGATTTAAGTTTACCATCAGGTAGTAGTACTCTTACCGATCAAATTCGAGCAGCACGAAATTATATATTACATACAACAAAATTTCAATTGTTTAATGATACTTTAGCTCAAACTGCATCTAGTGCAGGATCATCACAAGAAGATGTAAGATTTGATACTGTAAAAGCTAGTCTTGCTGAACATCCTGAAGATACAATGTTCTATCAAGCATATCAGCAATTGTATTCTATTGCATCTCAAACATTTCGACGAACAAATGATGAAAGAGTTTGGACAGCTATTTTTATCGGCATGCATAGTAGTGATGGAGGTGGACCTTTTAGAGATTCAATAACACGTATGTGTGGTGAATTATGTAGTACAAAATTACCATTATTTATTCTTTGTCCTAATGGACGAATGAATAGTGGTTCAAATCGTGATCGATGGATTCCGAATGTTTTTCCACCAAATCAATCTATACCAGATGAATTTAAAAATCAATATCGTTTTCTTGGACAACTAATGGGTATGGCAATACGTACAAGAAACTTTTTAGATGTTCAATTTCCAATTTTACTCTGGAAACAATTAGTACAAGAAAAAATTACAATCGAAGATATTGAAGCTATTGATATATCAAGTTTTTCTATTATCAATCAAATGGAAGAAAATATTAAACAAATAAAAAGTCTCAATGAATCTGAAGATGATGATGCGAATATCGATCGTGATTATTTATTTAGTAGTATCATGAGTGAATTAGTATTTGATATTGTAAGTTCAGCTGGACAAACTTATGAACTTATTCCTGATGGTTTTCATATTCCTATTACTGCTGCTAATTTTGAAGATTATTGTATACGTTATCGTCAATATCGTATCAATGAATTTTATCGACAAATTGATTTTATTCGTCAAGGTTTATATAGTGCTATACCATCAGCTTATTTAACTCTATTTACTGCTAGTGAATTAGAAGAAGCTGTTTGTGGTAAAGGTTATATTGATATTGAAATGTTGAAACGTCATACATATTACAATAGTGATAGTGAAACTACGCCACATATCGTTCGATTTTGGTCTGTTTTAAGCGAAATGTTTAGTGAAGAACAGAAAAAATTATTTTTAATATTTGTTTGGGGACGAAGTACATTACCGAATAGAGACGAAGATTTTTCTTCGAATTTTTCACTAAATCGTCTGGAAACAAGTGGCAATGTCGATGGTGCTCTTCCAAGTAAGTTTATTGAAAATTTAATATCTATCAAATAAGAGAGAGAGAGAGAGAGGTTTTGAACGAACTTTCGATAAAAGTCTAGATTTCTCACAAAGCCTGTTCATACTTTAGTGATGAATTCAATTATTTGATTTCTTTTCTAGAATCACACACATGTTCATTCGCACTTGATTTACCTGAATATTCAACTAAAGAAATCACGTATGAACGTTTGAATTATGCTATTACCTATTGTTCCAGTATCGATAATGATTGGAATATGAATTAATTCTCTATCAGTATTCATGAACTAACATTAGACTCAAATTTTACATGGTGACTAATCAACTTGTAAAAGAATTTTATGACACGCATCGTTTTTTTTTTTATTATTTCAATATCTGATCATTGAAATCGATTCAATGCTGTTTACGATATACATCGTTGAATGAAGCCTTTCTTTTTAAATAGAATTTTTTACAATAAATTAAGACTATATGAATAAATGCTATTATACATTTTAGTTTTCTGCTGGGTGTACAGATAGTAGTACGAATGACAACTGTTTTTCGGCAGTCTGTTGATAAGATCTACAAACGGTAAGTGAAAATATGAAATGCTCAGTCAGACAATTAACATAATTAAGAATGAATAACATTCGCTGTAGTCTATCAAAAAACCAAATAAATATCAGCAAAGATCTGCCATGATGTCAGAGCATTGACAAAAAAAAGAAATATAATTATTAATGGTAGACAGACAATGAAGTATTCCAGGTACCTCTAAGCTATTATTGTCTGTTGATTGTAGTGTACATGAATCTAGCGGAGAAGTGATGTGCAATAAGCAGAGTAATATATTTCTTATCCTCGTCCTTCATCACAAAAAAATAATAAGTAAAATCGAAATGAAAAACTAGAAATCTTGTTCGTATTACAACGAACGCACAATAAATAGCATCTCATTTGAAGGTTTCAGTGACAAATCAAGTAAACTACATATGCATGGTGGAAATTTTGGAATAGAACTTGATAAAAAATTGCGTGAACACATTGGTTTTCATAGTTTCGGCTGCGAAACTCAGCCATCAAACTTCATAAAAGACTATCATTTTGCAAAAGAAGTCAGTCCATATTATGTAGTTTGCTTCTGTTTTCGTTTTTGTTTCCATTTTTATCTTTTCGAAGTCTTAAATTTTTATTGTAAAAAACGATTTTGCTTCTTCCTATTTGTGCTTATTTGTTTTACGCAGACTACTGATGAGTGTTTATATTTCAATAAATAACACGAACGGTATCGATCAAAATTAACTCTGCATTTCTTTTAAATTATTTTAATTCAAGCACATTTATTTACCTTTATTCTATTGTTATTTATTTTATTTTCGACTTGATCGATTGGTGAAAAGCAAGAGTTTAGACTATTAGATTGAACTTGTCTTTTATTTGAGAGATGGTCGATTTGTCATCAATTAATTTAAGTTCACCCACATCCAGCATGTGTATATGTTGAACGACATTTGTTGTACTTTTTTTCTATTCGATCTTTATTAAACAGTGACAATGATGATCGACCATGGTAAACAATATAATATAAGTTTTAAATTATTTCAAAGAGTTATTTTGGACTTTCTTTCCTAATCTGTTGAAAAGTGTGAATAGAAATCAATGTTTTCTTAGATTGTCACCAGAAAACTGAATTAAAGAAGAGATTCAAAATATTTTTGGACATTCAATCAAGTTTCAAATATTTTTTTTTTGTTCTTATGAAATCTATCTCCTTATCCAGAAGAATATTTCTATATGAATTTTTTTTCTTTCTTTATCAGTTATGTACATGACATACGAACAAACATATCTATACACATTTATCAATCAGAATGAAAAACATAGATCGTTTCGAGAGAGAGAGACAAAAGGAGTGATAGATCCTTAGTGTTTTAGCTGGGAAAATCTATTTTTAAAGATTTATACTGAGAACTTGACCATACGTCTTCGAGGAAATTTATATATCTTACTCAGTTTTTTACATTCTTTCTAATCATGTAATTTTTATCAACTCTGTACGAAATCAAAAATTTCAAACCAATTGATATGAATGTGTTATACATTGAGTTTACCGAAGATAACTATAGTTTGAAACTAAATGAAATTTGTACACTTCGATTAAGATAATTAAAATTTTATTTTAATACCGCTTTCAGTACACATCTCCTAGATGCTTACTAGAATAACACAGAAATTGAACTTCAGTCTATCGATCTATTCACAAATAGGTATGAACTAGCATGAAAAGTATGAAACTGCTTGCATATAAAGTCATTAAACGATGTAAGATCACGAAATTTTCTTTTTGTGATAGTGTACAAAATCTTGTTGCCCATCGAGAAATTTCACATATAAACCAAGTAGAATAAATTCCCGCAGCCAGCATTGAATACCAACGATCGATAATAAAGAGAATAACGTAACAAGTAGCCATAATAAAAGATACAATTGATAATAGAAATGAATTTTGAATTCCCAAGTGCACAGCTAATGTTCGATCGTTCTGTTGTTTATCTTGTTCGATTTGATAGATTTGTGTGAGCGGATAAATGCCAACACAAGTGAGAACGGCTGGTGGTATGCCGGTAAAAAAACGTAAATTCCATGTCTGTCTCGTACATGTGTAACCAAGAAAATAGGGACCAATTCCTTGAAGAAGTCCAACAACTATTAAACTAGTCCACGGTTTACTCTTCAGACGAATCATTGGATGAGAGTAAGCAATCGAAAAGACAATTGCTAGAAGATACAATCCGAGTGTTATCGGACAAGGATCTGATAGCAATGTTAATACGAAACCAATCATTTGCCAACACCAAGCGAAATAGAACAGTGAATCGCCAGTGACAGTTGGAGGTCGTAATAGACCTCCAATGGGTCCTATTTCGTGACGATCATAATAGGAATTGAGTGCATTGACTCCGCCATAGAGAAAGATGTGAATGATGATAAATTGAGTGATGCAGGGCCAAGTGAAAATGATTCTGAGATCGTTTGCAATAAATATGCCAAAAAGAAAAATAGGCACTAAGAAAAAGTTGAATGCTAGGCGAAGATGTGCAAAGAAAGTATACCACATTATTCGTTCTGTCACGCTCGAAGGTACGCCGTTGTTACTCGAGAGAAAAATGTATGGTGTGAGTATCGTGTGAAGGAAAGCAAAAGATAATGATTGGAGGTCATTATGTAAAGGTCTCTTGCTTGTGAAGACTGACGACATCCATCAATTAACTATATGAAATAGAATGAAATATATATACGTAGACACTACATTGATATCGACAAACGAAATCTACCTGAGAATTAAAATATTCACAAAAAGAAGACGATTAAAATCTTTTTTTTTTTTATAGTTGTCTAGGACTTTATCGTCAATGTACTTGAAGTGATTCTTACTGTTCAAATAGTTATCGACAATAATTGGTTGTCTAAGAAAATAATTTGCTGTATACTGAGTGTCAAAATCCCATTTTAGAACTTACTTCTGTGGTGTCTCTAGTCAATTTTTCCAAGTGGTGAAGCACACTTTCAATACTAAACTTACTATAATAAAATAAAAAACTATTGAGAAGAAGATAAAATAATGTTGCACTTCCATTGATTGTCAAACATCGCATTCTAAATACTAAAAAACATATTTCCAATAAAATCTATGAGGGACTGGAAGTTATGCAATCAATTATTAGGGTAGCTCTTCTATTTTTGGATGTACTTGTGAAATGAAAGTGCCTCATGATCTAACGTTTGTTCAAATAGATGATAAACTGCATGGATTGAATAGTCTAAATTTTCAAACACTATTTTTCATTTCGATGAATAGGAGTAGCAAAAATAAACAACCTATCATCTCCAGTTGGCATAATTGTTCAGTAGCAAGATACATGGTGATTTTTCATTTTCATTTTGAAAGATTTGTCTTCCTTATTTCTATGCCTTTTTTTGTGAGATTTCGAAGAATGTCAAAAGGGGGAAACGGCAGATTTTATACTCCCAAGATTCTAGGGATTTTTATCGCACTTTTGGACACTTGACACCATGTTTAAAAAGCTGATATTACTGAAGAAGTCTCCACCGTATCACATAGTAAGCAGATTAACTTTGGATTTTAAATAGTGACTTTGGCTATCATCATACGAAATTCTTTTTGAATTTTTTTTTCAATTGAGTACGTACAAATGGGTTCATTTGATCCATAATAGTTATCTTGTTTCTTCTTCAAAACAATATTAATATCAAGTTCAAAGAGAAGATCATAGGCATTATCAAAAGCACGCGACAATATTATCATACGTAAGAGGATGATCAACAGATGAATTAGAAACTGTCTTCTTTGAAGCAGCATCTTTTCGTCGTCGTTTATGATATATTGAGAACTGTAATGGCTGTCCAACTGATGATCCGACTCACTCTTGTTCTCCAGATCGGTCAATACAGAGAGTTTCCTCATTTGTTTAAGGACTTGATCAACAGTGAAATTTACTATTGAATAGAAAGTTCCTAACATTGATGTCGTAAGCTGAAAAGTAGTCTCACATGATTGTGAATTATAATTCGATATCGAGAGAGCAAAATCAGGCAAATCGTGCTGGCTTACGAAAAGAAATATTACAAGCAAACTATGAACATTAAGCTCAATGGAAAAATGTGCAGAGGTGTTGATAAGTAAATCATTTCTTTTTCTTGTCGGAATGATATCTTACGATGTCCTTTTCGTCAGTTATTTGCAGTCAGGTCTGCCATATGTGACCTAGAAAAATTACTAGCGAACTATGACAGATGCAATCAACGATCGATGTATCATGATTTACATAAGCTAATACAATACAAGAAGCGCAAATAAACTCGTGTAGTTTGAGAATCATCAATATCTTCTAGAGCAAGAAACACATCATTACTTGACAGTTTGAGACAATACGAAAAATTCTGTCGATCTTTCTGCTCTATGCCATCTTAACAAACCCATGAGCAAGCTTTGATTTACTTTAAACCAGTTGATGAAAACTTCTTCTTTCCCAATCAGCATTGATACTGTATTCGCGAGAATATGATTACGGAGTTTCGTACACAAATGTACTGGATCTTGAAAACAAAAAGACTTATCGAGTTTTCATGAAAAACAAAAATGATCAGTCTTTTGATAAAGTGATTTCAAGTACATGATGATGATCACATATCGAACTATTATTATATTTACCCAAAAAAATATGTAGCAAAACGTATGGCAAGTAAATATCTAGGATGGGAATCACTCGCAAAAGCAACAATACGAACGTTTGACTCTCGAAACTTTTTGAATATTCATGGCTTTAAACTTGTTACCGATCCAATATGCAGCCAGTAGAAATAGCGACTAATACAGTAATGTAGAAGCTGTTAACTCGTTTCAACTATTCTGAGAGCTTTCGCGCTTGTTGGTGTTCCGTGGTATCCACACCTGGTGCTGTGGATGTGAGCGTGTGCTTCCCTGGCATTTTTGGAACAAAAAATATTTTTCGGTGAAAAGATTACATTCAACACTTTGAAAAACCGACTTCAGATTCGGATTCCTTGATCCCGAATAGTTGAAACAACTTTTCGAGTTTTACATGTATACTATTTCCATAAATTTTCTCTCTTTTGATATCTATGGATGAATAGAAAATTTCATAGGATTACAAATGCGATATTAGTTTTCTACACTAATTAAATATTCATCAAACATAGAAATTATGAATCACCTGTAAATGTACTCTGCTTCTCACGATAGATTTCCTTTATTATCTATTATGTCTCTACGAAAAATATGGTATAAATAATACAAAATTACAATATATATATGACAAAATTACAATGACAAGGAAAAATGAGCAAAATCATTTCTCTCATCGATATAAAGAAGGATAAACATCGATCATAAAACCACGATTTATGACAAAAATCGTCAGAATCATTGAGAAAAAATTATCGATCATCATTTCGATATGTCACGATTAATTGCCGATTTTGAAAACACATGAACACGTACACTCAACTAGTTTAAACAATGCACCATAAGTAGAACCCGTCGAGTTAGAGTCCGAAAATATTGTACTCGACGAACTCTAGTCGAAAGACATTTGTTTTGAATTCCTATTAGGAATGCCGAAATAGCCTTGGGACATTAAACTAGAATTTTCGGCTATTTTTTACTTTATTGTATTCCCTACTATGCAATGTAACTGTTGCTGTTTTTTATTTACGTATCGTGCGATTGATTTGTATCAGAGGAACAAGAATATTGCGACATCTATTTCTGTTTTTTGCTTCTGAAAATATTTGTTCTAATATGTAAAACTTGAATAAAAAAATTTTTTCAACTGAATTGAATATAAAACATTTTTTATTAATGATTATTTCATGAGGGATTTTAGTCTAGAATTCCTATTGTATTCTAGAATATGACCAATGAACAAATGATTAATACGAAATTACGAGTTGAGATAACTGATTTTTTGAAAATTTTACAGTACTAACGATTTATTTATAAATTTTTTTTATTATTATAGACAATCATAACTTTTTCTTAAATAAACAAATTAAACATGGGCACATCATATGCGACCGGAGGAAGACCTGATCAAGATGATCGAGTATGGATGGATGGTTGGTAAGTTTTTCAATTTTTCTTCTAAAGAAATATTTTTTTTTGTTGTTTTTGATTCATATAAGTTATGATATGGTACATTTTGGTCATGCTAATGCATGTCGTCAAGCAAAACAAATGGGAAATTATTTAATTGTTGGTGTTCATTCAGATGGTTTGTGCTTATAATATCTATTGAAATCTTCGAAAACAAAAGAAAAGTAATAATCTATTATTTTATTTAGAGGAAATTACTAAACATAAAGGTCCACCAGTATTTACAGAACAAGAAAGATATAAAATGGTTCGAGCTATAAAATGGGTTGATCAAGTTGTTGAAAATGCTCCTTATGTAACAACACTTGAAACATTAGAAGAATATAATTGTGCGTTTTGTGTACATGGAGATGATATTACAGTAAAAAACACCAAATTGATTAATTTGGTTTTTCTTTTTTTTTAATAAGAAATTTACTTTTCAGGTAACTGCTGATGGAGTTGATACATATCATATTGTTAAAGCAGCTGGACGATATCGTGAATGTAAACGAACACAAGGTGTATCAACAACTGATCTTGTTGGAAGGTTTGCTTATATGATAAAATTCTTTTATTATTGTTATTATTGAAATTATTATTATTAAGAATGTTACTTCTTACAAAGACTCATCATGAACCTGATGATATAGTAATTGATCGAGAAAATACACGTCGAATGAGTTTATGTAAAGAAAGTGTTAGTCCATGGACAGGTGCTTCACAATTTCTTGCAACAACGAATAAAATTATACAATTTTCAAATGGTCGAGAACCAAAAGTAAATAAGAAAATTAATTTAATAAGTAGAAAACTAAGTCAGATATCAAATATATGCAGATGTTCAGTCTAGCTGAAGGTTCTAGTTACTTTTTTATTATACTGCATCTATTCATTATCAGAAACATATGATTATTTTTTGTTAACAGTTATAGTATTGATAAAGAGCTGATGACCAGACTTTTATGTTTGCCGACTACATGAGTTTTGTAGTACAAAGAATTAACGGTCAATGTGTTTCCGTGATCTATGTGTCAATAATAACTAGAGACATCTAGATATGTAAATCACAATCAGCAAGGCCAATAAAGAAGAATCCTTTTTTCATTCAGTATTCTCTCATCACACACGTCTACATAATTCAATTCAACATATAGTCTTGTTTCAATTGAGTCATCTTTTATTCAACTTTCGATTTTCTTTCCCTCTTTTTGCAATAGTAGATCATCAGCTGTTTATCAGTACTATAACTGATGAAAAGAAAATCATATGATTCTGATAATGAATAGAAGCAGTGTAATAAAAAAAAAGAAATTGGAGACTCCAGGAAGACTGAGCACCTCCATATGTATATATACTGTACTTTAGATTAGGAAGGATGAATGATCGATAATAATATATAGTAGATACAGAGACTTGCAATATAATTTTATATTATTTCAAAACCGATGGAACGATCTTTATTGATATTTGTTATTTGAGATTTACTAGGCTTATGCTTCAAATATGTATAAAACATTCTGAAGAGATTAGTAGCAGAGATAAGCAATTTTAGTTTACTACACAACGCTACCAAAAAAAGCATATTTTGATAGAGTTGATATCACGGATGTTAATGGAATCACTGACTCACTGTTCAGTATTAACACCAACATTATATACGTCCCTAATCGGAAGAATAAATCCATTTTTAATATTTAATGTCTTGAAAATTGTTGATACTTCTCAAAATAAATCTTGATAGTAATAATTATGATTCTTAAGAAAAGTAATATAAAATTCAAAATGATTCATATATTAAGATTAGACTTTGAAAAGAAGTTATTATTTATTTTGATTATTTTATTTAGCCTGGTGATAAAGTAATTTATACTGCTGGTGCATTTGATTTATTTCATGTTGGTCATGTTGATTTTCTTGAAAAAGCTAAAACATTTGGTGATTACCTTATTGTTGGTATACATTCTGATCGAGTAATAATTATTATTATATATAAATATATTAATAATATACAATAAATATCTTAATTTTGTTTTTTTCGTATTCAGGTTGTTAATCAATATAAAGGAAGTAATCATCCAATAATGAATCTTCATGAACGTGTATTAAGTGTATTAGCTTGTCGAGTAAGATAAAATGTTTTTTGCAAAATATGAAACATATTTTTTTTTTTTATAGTATGTCGATGAAGTTGTTATTGGTGCACCATATGCTGTTACAATGGATCTAATAAATCATTTTAAAGTATCACTTGTTATACATGGTCAAACAATCTATGATAATGATGGTGATGGACGTGATCCATATGAAGTACCGAAAGGTCTTGGTAAATTTCAACAAATCGATAGTGGAAATCCAATGTCAACACAAGATATTATTACACGTATTATTAATAATCGGTTTGTTGATTTGAATTTAGATTTTTTGTTTGAATTTATTTTTGCTTTTTTATAGATTAGTTTATGAAAAACGTAATAAAAAAAAAGAAGCTAAAGAAGCAGCTGTTTATGCCGCATTTGAAAAATTAAAAGCCGCAAGTCTTCACGAATCATCAGCTGTTAATATAGAACAACAAGAAGAAATAAAGCATGACTAATTTGCATTTGCACAACAAAAAACAAACGAACTTTTTTTTTTGAGTAACTATTTTCCGCATGGTTTATTCTATTTATTCTCATATACTATACTTAATATTGATAAATACTCATTCTTGTTGTTGTTTGCTCTTTTGTTTCTTTTTTTAATGACAATATATTACTCCATATTGTAATTAATGTTGTATTTCTTTTAGATCTTTAAAAAAAAAATGGTTAAAACAAAAGGAAAAAATAAGAAAAAAAAATTAGAAAAAAAAATAAAAAAAGAAGATGATGAATATGAAGATATGGAATCAGAAGATCTCACTGCTAGTGGAAATGATAATGCTGTTCAACAAGTCTATTTACCAGGTGATCCATTAGATGAAGATGAAGAACTTGTTCGAGAAGAAAGTGCATATGAAATGTTTCATGAAGCACAAACAGGCAAGTATGTGTATGGTTATGATCGGAAAAAAAATTTATCAATGAATTTTTTTTTATTCTAGGTGATCCATGTTTAAGTTTTGATATATTACCTGATAGCTTGGGTATGGATAGAAATCAATATCCGCATACAATATTTATTGTTTGTGGAACACAAGCAGAAAAATCTGATCGAAATAGTGTTATGGTTGTCAAAATGTCAAATTTAACTAAAACTTTAAAAGTAAGATTTTATAGTAAAGTTTCTCCATAATGAACACCTCCTTATACTGAGCAGTCTCTATTGTACAGGCCTCAAAAGCGGACTACTTTTTGATGGTTCGGTCCAAATTAGAATGGTACTATATAAAAGTATATTTCTACATAATAGAACTCCACCATCACTACAGTCATTTATTAGAGCATTGTGAAAAATTTATTATCATAATAATTACAATTTGAATAAAGTCGGACAATTTTAATGCTTGAAAAAATATTACTATTTATTAACATAAGCTTTCACGAATAAAATGTCCACTGATCAATTTCAAAGAGTCATATCGGTTACTATTTTAAGTTACAATGTTTGACTTGAGTAACATGTATGCCAGTTAATAGTGTACTTGGCCTTGTGTCTAGATGAGACGTGTCATTGAACTGAATAAATGCTTTACTTTTATTTATTGGCTAAATGAAATTTCTAAGTAAGAAATTTAAGATGAAGATGATGCAATTCAATTCTTATTTTTCAACTTTAAAGATAGATTTCAATTGATTTTAGTCGTTTTTAATTGATTAAAATAGGGTTTTTTTTAAATCAGATTTTTTCAGTTTTCTTACGTGAAAAATCTTCTTTGAAAAAAAGAAATAAAGTTCGAACCAAGCGACCCGTTTCAAGCACTGATCTATAGTTCACTCAAGTGAATTTTACTAGAAATGAGTATATCCTTATTATGACCAATAACAACGTCTGTAATGTGCGCAACATATGTTCTATTACTGATAAATTGATGAACTGTTCAAGTGTCACATAAGCTAAAGTCGTACAGATCAATCTATGACTGTATCAGCGGAAAGTTATGCGTATTTCTTACAATTGGATGAAAAGAGAAGTTAAAAATAGCAAGAAATTTTACCGAGATTCCTGAAAAAAATCACTTTCAGAAAAACCATGGTTAAATACTCCGAATATGCACCTTCATTATTATTACAAATTTGATCTATGTCTCTGGTAAAAGCGAAGTTTTTGCCATAAAAGATGATTTTTTCTTATAGCAGTTGTTCGATGATGTGCCTCCAGTGATATTATATCATCGTAAGAGATAGACTCAAAAAATTTCTCAGTTTTATTTAGGACTTTTTTAAATATATGTTTCAAGACTTATGAAAGAAGAAACTCAAAAATAAGAAATTACTAGACCTCAGTGTCTTCTTTTAAAAAAAGAAAAAAGAGTGCTTGGTTGAATGCCATTGGAGATACAATAGATACAAAAAAATGAGTGTTACAAATGTACTAAAATTACTCCAGCTTCCACTAACAACGAGATATCAAGCTGAAATTTTGTTTTATCTATAACTGGGCATCCCCTCCAATATTAATACAAATTAAAAAAATTGACTTAATAAATTATTGGAAAGAAGAATAAGTAAGCACTTTTGATCGGTGTCGATGATGTCCACATTAGAGAGATTTATGGGCGTCTGAAAGATTACAAAGAATTAAAGAAATATTCTTGCAGTTTGTGAAAGTCAATTTTGTTTTTGTTGACAAATATCAAAAATGTTTAAGAGACGATTTTAGGAATCATGACAATTAACTGATCTTTTGTGATAAATAATAACTTGAATATGAAACTACATAAATTGAATTATTATTTTTTGCAATCCATGTATTGTACTCAAATTAATGGAAGTTTATAACAAATTTAAATATACACGAGAGACTATGCTTGTCGAAATCTAAAACAATATATGAACGAGTATTTTTCTCGGTTAAGGTTTTAGTATAATAATATAAGCATTTATAAACGTGCACTAAGAGTCAACTTCGAGAGTTTCAAGTAGGATGATATATTACTTACTTTCGTTTATAACATTATCGATGTCGAAATTGAACACATGAAAAGTCATTTTTGAGATCTACAAGTCAATATCAGATCTTAGATTTTGATTGAAAGTTTACGATGATGTTTTGTCTGTTTGATTTACAAATAAACATTATATTTTTCTTTTTGAGTATTCTATAAATAGATATTAAAAAGAAAATATTCTATTTAGGAAAAAACATCAGAATCAGATGAAGATGACAATGATGATGATGAAGAAGAAGAAGATACGAAACCAGAATTTGAATCAGTTTCTTTAAAACATATTGGTGGTATTAATCGTATAAGAGTAAGTAAAGAACGAACAAATATTCTACTAAAAAACATTAATTATTTTGTCAGTCAACAGTTATTAATGATCGTAAAATAGCAGCAACATGGTCCGATACAGGCAAAGTTCATATATGGGATTTAAGTCGATTACTTCATGCTGTTAATGATTCATCTGTTATGGCTACTTATGTTCGTAATCAAGAATCACCTAAACCATTATTTACATTTAATGGACATATGAATGAAGGTAAGAAAAAGAGAAAAAAAAAGTAGCATTTTTTTTCTTCAAGAAAGAAAAATATTTGTTTACTAGGTTTTGCTATGGATTGGTCACCAACGGTACCAGGTAAATAAATATTTTATTTAATTAATTTTAACAAAAAAAAATTATATTATGTTTTGTGTTTTAAATAATATTAGGGATGTTAGCAACAGGTGATTGTTCAAAAAATATTCATATATGGAAACCAAATGAAACAGAATGGGTTGTTGATCAAAGACCTTATGTTGGCCATACATCATCAGTTGAAGATATTCAGTGGTCACCAAATGAACAGAGTGTAAAAACAAAAAAAATACACACTTTATTTTTTGTATTATGAAATCAATTTTTTTTTCTACTTTTAAAGGTTTTTACTTCGTGTAGTGTTGATCGAAGTATTCGTGTATGGGATATTCGTGCTATGCCATCAAAAGCTTGTATGTTAACAGAAACTGATGCACATACATCTGATGTTAATGTTGTTAGTTGGAATAAGCATGAACCATTTCTTATATCTGGTGGTGATGATGGTTATATTAAAGTTTGGGATTTAAGACAATTGTCTGTATGTAGAAAGAATTATTTTTGAAATTCAAAAAAAAAAATTTTTTTTTTTGATTTAATTATATTTAGAAACAAACACCAGTAGCTTCATTTAAACATCATCATTCATCAATAACAAGTGTTCAATGGCATCATATAGATTCAAGTGTATTTGCTGCAGCTGGAGCTGATAATCAAATAACATTATGGGATTTAGCTGTCGAAAAAGATGATGAAGAAAATAAAGAACAAACAGCTAATAATAATAAGAATAATCAATTAGAAAATTTACCGGATCAATTACTGTTTATTCATATGGGACAAACAGATATAAAAGAAGTTCATTGGCATAGACAAATACCTGGATTATTAATTAGTACTGCTCTATCCGGTTTTAACATCTTTAAAACGATCAGTGCTTAAAAATTCAGTGTATTTCTTTTTCCGAAATAAAATTAAAATAAAGTTTCGTTAAGTTTATTCGATAAAATAAATTGACTATGAACGTTTATTAATACATATATATATATATACTTTAATTTTTTTTTGGCTGTAGTATCTCATGATTAAATAAGAAATCAATAAGTCGTAGAATACAGTTAAAACAATTTTGTGTTCTCTTTCATATTAGAGATTGAATTATTCTTCTTAAATATTCACGAAAAGATTATTTACAATAGTAAGTAAGTATTAACAAGAACAGCAAATCAATGAAACAAAAATGTCACAAGTTTTTGAACATATATTGGCACTCAAAATTGCTCATACACTTAACTGATCTCATCTTGTTTTGTAAAACTGACATTATATTTTTCGAAGAGAATTATAATGAGCCATCGGAACTTGATTCAGTTGGTCCTAGATTGACGAGATAGAGATATGCAGATCTAGGTATGAACATGCATTGAGTAAAGTGTTAGGTAGATACAACAGGTGACTTGACATGTAACAGCGACTGGTTTCACAAAGTCAATTTTTTTTTGTAATATAAAAGTTGATTTTTATGTTTATAAAAACACACCAATTTTGAATATACTACACTTGTCTAATTAAGTTCAGCTTATATATACAATTTTTATAAGCCGAACAGAAATTTTTCAGGCACATTGTAGTTTTCGTCCCATGAACTGTCATGATATCTACAACTAGGCTGTAGATATCGGTGTGTGACAAGTGTAAGCAGACCCACCCGCACATTCTCTTTTTAATTGTCAGAGTTCGACTTTCCTATTCGAACTATCATATCGATATCCAACGAATTGTTCAAATTAAATATTTTGGTTTACGAAATAAGCGAGGAAAATAATCGAACAATATTGTACTGGAAAAACAGATCTATGGTAGCAAGTATTTGATCATAAATCTATCAAATATAGGTAATAAGATAACTCATCTTGACATAACACGACTACTAGGAATAGTAGAAACAAATTGTTTCGAGCGAATTCAATATAGATCGTAGGAGAAAAAAGAATCATTTCTTATCAGCCAATTTCCCAAATAGTATATATAATCATTCGATTGTGAGAAAAAAACGGAAAACCATGAAGTTAAAATTTGGTGGTTTGCAGAATGTCATTCAAGTAATTACATTGATTGAAACTTTGCCAGTCAAATTATATATATGTACAATGAAACTACGATAGTCTTCTTATCGATATTCTTTCATCGTTATTGTTTCTTTAATTTGATTTTTTTCTTTGCGTATGACTTTTTAATTGATCGTCACTTTCATTATGTACATGAATGTGTCATCATTATAGAAACAGAACGTTTCTGAAAGAATTCATATATTTTGTTGTCCAGTATGCCATTTTGCAAATTTATTTCTTGACAATTTTGTACAACATCAGAAAGATGTCGGATATATCTTTAATGTCTTCTTACGAAAACTATTCAAACAGTACAAAACATATATATGCACATTATTATGCATTAAAATATGCAATTTCAACGTGTTCTAAGCGCGCTTGTAATCGAATAACGAATAGAACCTAATTGAAACTTCAGCATTTTCATGCATATTAAAGAATTTCTCTCGGCTTTTGATTGATTGGATAGGCGGAACAATGAAAAATATAAAATATGAGAAGAATGCTTAATATACAAAAGAAGCGATGAATGATTTTAAAATTGTACTCCCCACTGTACTTTCGGAAGGATAGGAAGTACGTCGTTTTCCTCTGAAAATTCCATAGCAGAAACAAGTTTGAACCATATTCGGCAAACATTTTTTAAAATATTTGTTGCAAAAAAAGAAAATTCTTTATTTTTTCATATACATTTCAAAAAGAAAAGGCATCAAAATGTTAATTATTAGAAAATTTAAAAAAAACTAATTGTTCTTGAATAGTTCATCTATTAAACAGCTGCTTTAGGAAATTTCCATCGAAAGATACTTCCATCAGCACTCACAGTAATAATATGTTGTGTATTTGGACATATTTTAACTTTTCTTATTTCACTACCATGACCAATACCAATACTATGAACGTCACCTTCATTATAACGCCATAACTAAATTTAAGAAAAATTTATTATTTTCAATATGAGAATATTAAAAAAGAAAAGACTTACTTTAACTAATTTATCACTACTAACAGTAACAAAATAATTACCAACACTATCAACATCAAGTCCATTAATTGTTCCACTTTTTGATGCTTCTAATTCACGTATTTGTGTACCATTTGTTGCTTCCCAGTATGCAATTTTTCGATCACTACCTCCTGTTATTATATGATATTCTTCTGGATGATAAGCTACACATTGAAAAAGTGTATTTTCAAATAAAACTTGATCACGTGCAAAACGTCTAAAAAACAAAAAGGAGAACAAATTTCAAAAATAAATTAAAAAAAATCAAATTATTATTTACTTCAAATTCCAAATAATACAAGTACCATCAAGTGAAGCAGTAACACATTCTGTATCTGATTTATTAATACGAATAGCAACAACAGCATTTTTATGTTCTTTCATTGTTGCTAAAAGTTCACGTGAATTAGGATTTATTTGCCATATACGTATCATTCCTTCACCACCACCACTAATTATTCGTCGACAATCATTTGTAACAGTAACAGCTGTTACACCACGATTATGTGCATCATTTATTGTAAACATTTCACGACCTGATTCAGGATAAAATGCACGAATACGACCATCATCCCATCCACTATATATATATATATATATATATGAAATATTATCTTTTGATATAAAATATTAATATTAAATTTTTTTACCTTATAATCATTTTTCCATCACGAGTAAAACATATAGAATTACATGTTTTATTTGCTTGTGTAATTCGTAATAATTCATTACCAGTTGATGCATGCCAAATACTATTTAAAAAAAAACATATAGTTCTATATGGATGTACTCAATCAATTCGATACTCTTCAATTCTCATTTATTGATGTAGTTTTAGTCAGATATCAGAAAAATGTGATATTTCCTTTTTACTGATGTTCACGTCAGAATTAAAGAAGGATGAGTGTAGTCTCAATAAGTTCATAGCTAGCGACTTGCGGATTTCAGCAATCGAAAGAAGGAAGTTTCAGATGTCTTTTTATCTGATACTATATAAGATAAGATTATTTTAAAAAGCATCATCTACGTAAAACAATACACGAAAATGGTGTTCGGTTTTGATATAATTTTAATTTTGACATGTACTTCAGATCTATAGTTCAATACATGATTCAACCGATTATTTTCTCTGATTTCAATGCAGAGCAAACTAAATCACATGTCTATTCGATCAAATTATATAGAATTCTGATGATTTTTGGCAAAATTGAAGGGCTTCTTTTTCAATTGCTGAAAATCGTAGATAACTAGCTCTTATCATTATTAAATATTTTGTTTAATCATTGTGTTAAAAGTATTGCATATAGAAATATCGTCTCCTGCACTTGTTTCATAGACAGTGACAGATGCATGTGATATGCACTGTGTATACTTAAGCAAGTATCAATGTGTATGTGTCTAGTTGTTTTGTAAACTTAGCTTTGAACTGAGCTCCACGTTAAATATACATGTTGAAAAATTTCGAAAATTGGAGTACTATTCAAAAAATAGTCGGGTACGAGTTGGTGTATGTTTGCAAATTAGATGTTAAATACCTCCAACAAAAAAACATTCTAAGGGAAAACTTGGCAACTTATATTTCTAGTAAGGCATAGAGCCCAAATAATAACAGATCATTAGTAAAACAATTTTTTAAATAGTTGACTACTGCTACATAAATAAATAAGTATTAAGGTATCAACCTTGTTGAGCACGCCCATATATATATATTTCTATAGATTTTATTTATCTTACCGAATATCTTGATAACTACATGTACCAAATAATTCCGATGATCCACTGTAAAAAATGTTTGTTAATTAATTAATAAAAAATCAATTTTAAACTTACAAAGGAAAAGCAATATCATTTATTGGTGAATTGTGACATGTATTAATTAATTCCATTTTCCAATCAGCATAATTTACTTTATAAATATGTGATCGATCTGTACCAATAAAAATCTATATAAATAGAATTTGTTTGTTTTTTAATATTATAGAATAACAAAATAATAATTTTCTTTTTTTTCATACCATATGACCTTCGCCTCGTAATGCTAATGAAGTAATAGAGCCCATAGCTTGTAAAGATCTAGATAAATAAAACTTTGATATGAATAATTGATGAATGGAAAAATTTACTTTAATGATTTAAATGTTTCCTTTTCGGTAATATGAACTTTACCTTCACCTGTACCAATTAAAACATCACCATTGATTAATGCTTGCATAGCTATAATACCCATAGAATATTTTTTCTTTTCAGGTCCAATAGATTTAAATTGAGTAGCTGGAATATAAATCATAAGTATATCTCCTGTTGTTGTACCACAATAGAGAAAGGCACCATCGAGTGAAACCTTAAATAAAAGAAAAAAAAAGACATTTTCAGATCGAAACACGAAAAGAAAAGTGATTCAGAATAATAATCAATCTGTACATTATTAGAATCTGTTTTAATTCTATCTATCTTTTATTTTATTCTGTTTAGATTTTCTTTCATCTTACTTACAGTCATACATTTAACAATTCGTTTTACAATACCAGTATTAATATCTGTCGGTCGAATTTTTCGATTTGCCACATCCAATTGCCAAAAACGAAGTGTACCACTAAGTTGTTGAATTAAAATTTTGTTTTTTTTAGAAAAAAAAATAGATATTTTTTTTTAATTTCATTTACTTTCCAGCACTATAAAATTGATATTCATCTTCTTTTGATACAGCCAAACAATATGTAATACCAGCACTTTTATGTTGAGCTGCACTACCACATACTGGTTCTTTTGTTTCTATATTCCAAACAATAATAGCACCATCATCTTGTCCACCCAATGAAATCAAA